TATTTATAAGATTAGTCGTTAAGTTTCAACTATAAATACCCTAGCTCATTTAGCTTCAAAACCATCCCAAATCATTCTAGCTTTCTCCAATACTAGAGAGTTTCTTGAGAGTTGTTTTCTCCTTTTTTATCAAGATAATTATCATTGTTTTCTCCTTGGTAGATCGAGAGAAGTTGTAATTCCTATTTTCTCATAGTGAAATTCTTCTACGTTGCCCGTGGTTTTTACCCTATATTATTTAGGAGTTTTCCACGTAAATTTTGTGTCTCTTTTATCTTCATTTTTATTTTCTCAAATTATCAGTTACGATTTTACTCTATCTGATAGCTGTCTTCCGCAACACCTTGCTTCTAGCTGATGATACTCTCTGGCCAGCACGATATTATCGCATCACAATCTGAGAAAATAGCAAAACATGATGAGGTGAAAGATTAGAATCGAAACACAGTGAAAACTATGTTGCCCTAGCATAGATGGATACAAGAATAAATATAGGTACGTGAAACTGTAGTTTCTAAAATTATATAGTACGAGTACGATAAAGTATAGTAAATATAAATAAATTTTAGCATTCGTAATTACTATAACATTGCGTATTAAATCTATATTCAAATTTATGTCTGCACTATCTTCGCTAAAACGGACATATCTTAAGTTCTCGACGTTCGATTGAAGCATTTTCGTATGCGTTAGAAAGATAACTTAAAGACGATTCATATGTAAGAGGACATTTCAACCCTGAAATGCCTAAATCGCATTAAAAAATCATCATAACTCAGCTGATATTCCAGACTTTAAAATCAACTTCAATTTCTTATCAAAATTATCTTTTTTTATGTTAAATCTACAAAAAAAAACTCTGGGTGAATATCTAATGTCATCCCGATTATGTCTTGGAAATCTATTCAACATACTCAACTAATTCTATCAGTATCCCTTCAACATGCCGATTATGTCTCGGAAATCTCTTCGACATACTCAACTAATTCTATCAGTATCCCTTCAACATGGGATGTCCCATACATACTCAAGCTGTACATGTCCCGTATTCATCTGGAGGACGTATTGACTATTGAGTACTTGAAAAGGCCTTGGATTGCCGTACCCGTGCAACATAGGGGAAAAACATACCAACACAATGATAAAACAGGATGATGGTACCTGAAGAAGATGATTTAGGTAGTCTGTGGAGACTTTGAACTCCAAAAATGAAGGGATCTAAGAAGGGTAGGTGGAACTTTGTATAAATAAATGGAAACTACAATGAAAGATAGAGTAGGATGAAAGAGGAAAGCATGAGATGTCCGCCATTACAGTAGTAGCTAGGTGAGTGGTGTTATATTTTGAGGAAGAAGGAAGGATGTTGCTACTTAACATGTATTTATGTAACAATGCCACTTGGAATGAATATAAGGACACAATATTGGAGAGAATTGGGGTAAAAGTGGGTGGATTTGGTCTAAACAACAAGCGTAAGTAGGAAAGAAGTTGAGAATTCACAGCCTCATTTCTGTGCCTTCAAACCTTTATGTTTTGATATATCCCATCCAAACTTCTCAAGAGCAACAAGATCAATCATCCCACTCATGTACTAAATCATGACTATATAATCAACGGGATTAGTTCAAGTAGTAAGCAGCTTAATATCATTTAAACATGTCTCGAGTTCGAGTCATTGCGTACACAAAAAATTCCCGTTGAAAGACTCTCCCGTTAAAATTAGGTATATGATCCGGGTCGATACGAATTAATCAAAACGAAACTTTGAGAATCGAGAACAACCATATATATATATATATATATATATATATATATATATATATATATATATATATATATAAAAGATAGTCTTTCCTTGATAACTCTTTAACTAGTGTCTTAATATTCTATATATCAAACATGAAATTTCTCACCCCAATAATAATTAATAAATCAATTGATGTCATTGTTACTTTTAGTCATCATTAATCCCATATCTATGAAAACAGATCAGTAGTGAATTCTAAATAATCTTATATCAAACGATAAAATTTTATATTCCAATCATATGAATCAAACAAGATGTTATCGTATATATCAACAAAATTAAATTTTATATTTCGTAAAGCAAACATCATCTACATATAGTCCATGTTTATATTGCTATTGTTATACCTCCTCCGTAGGTCTTTATGTTCAAACTTCGATTTTAACCAAATTAATCAATTGAATCGAAGTTTTTCCGATTAATCAATCGGTTAATTTTAAGTTTAATCGGTTAACGATTAATGATTTTTCAAACTTTGTTTATCGATTAATCCAGTTAATTAATCGAACTGAATTAATTGAATTATTAAATATTTAACATATTATATATATTATTTATATATTACTTAGCTTTAGGAGTGATTAATCTTCGATTTTTACCGAATTAATCGAATTAATAAAAATATTTAATATTTAATATTTAATATTTAATATATAATATATATTATTTATAAATTTTAGTTAATTCAGTTAATCGATCGAATTAACTGAACTTTGTTCGATTTGTTTAAAAGTTTTCGAAAAAATTTGGTTCGATTAATGGTTAAAGGGAAAAAATTGTATTAATGAATTTTATGTAGTTTGATTTAGTCGAATAACCGAACCGACCGATTAAACACCACTAGGTCTTCGCAAATGACTTCTTCATAAGTCAAACTAGGTTGTACTTCCGCTTTCATTCCTCTGGAGTTTCTAAAGCCTACGAAGACTCGTATCCTCTAGAAGACCACTCCCGAAGTTTCCGAAGATCATGTCCTTCAGAGAATCACAGTCCTTTAATTAGACCACTCCTTTGAAGTTTCTAAAGCCTACGAAGACTCGTATCCTCTGGAGAGCTACAATCCCATGACATGACCTCTGATAAGTCTACATAATTTGTCAGAGTCAAATTTATTATCTGACAACATGATCAATTCATTCCACCAACCTACAAATAACAATCATTGTCCTAAACTTGACACCGACACTAAGAGTCACTATAACTCTCCCCTAAACCAAGATTGAAAGGGAGACTTCTTTTTCTCGAGCTCTCTCTCTCACACATATATGTGTTCAAATCCGGGTACTCGTATTTTTGGGTAGTCGAGATTTTCGAGTAACAAAAGTTTGGCCCGTGGCCCGACCTTAAGAGACGAGTACATGTAAAACTCAGGTACTTGTATTTTCGGGTCACGGGTACCCAATTAATATTCATATTATTTTATTTTTTAATTTATATTAATTAAAAAACACATATAAAAACACAAAATTTAAAACTTAAAAGTTTATAATACATAACATAAACATAAAATTTATAAATTCACCTTATATAATCTAAAAATAAATTTAAAAATACAAAAAAAAAATCACAACTAAATTTGAAATAATTTGAGATGAAAAGAAATAATTTAATAAATAATTAAATGTTGAGGTGAAATAACTTTAAAAAAAATAGAGATTTAGAATGTTAGGGTGAAATCATTTTGAAATTGGAAATGAAAAATCTAATTTATAAATGCTATTTTAGTGTCTAAACAAAGATAATAATTTTAGATATTTTTTAACCCAAGTTTTAGGCGAAATTATAGTTAACTTATAAGTTGTAGCTACCTTCTATTGTTGTAACCCCAAGTAGAATTTATTTACTTATGATGTCATAAGATTTAGGTTGAAATTCTAACCGCTAGTCCTTTTTTTTATTATTATTAAGCTCTCTCTTTGCCAATTTTTCCTTCTCTTCTTCTCCTTTATGACGTTGGTGTACAGGGATGGAGCCGAGATTGATTCATAATAGGGGAAGTTGTTTAATTTTAAAACAAATAGGGTCTTAGAATATAAATTTACCATAAAAAATAAGATATTAAGGGTTTAGTTTCATTAATTTTAAAATTCAACGGCCTTAAAAAACAATTAAACCAGTCCAATTTGGAGTAAATGTTTAATTTTATAATTCTGCTAGCTTGGAATGCAAACCGACAAAACCAAATTTAAATTGATTTAATTTTTTTTACAAACCTTATAAACTAAAAATACCACCTACAAATAAAATAAAATCAACACACCAAATTCAGTTCGGAACTTCACTTCTGGATGAAGAGTTTCTGCAACAACAAAAAAAACCAAATACATAATCATATTCTATTTAGGTAAATTTGCTTCATAATTCTGTATTAATTTAGTGTGAGAGAGAATATGACGGGTACCTCCAACATTGTTAATATCAACATTTCCAAGAAGCTGCTCTTTCCATTTCCTTAAGCTCTCATCATCATACACTTACAAATAATAACAAAAGAGAAGCAGCAGAAAAAAGTTTTTCTTCTTCCCTCTTTTATTTAACTTTTTTTTTAAAAGCCAGTCAAAAGCTTTGAAAAATCAATTGTATGAAAAAATAATGTCAGTTTAACGAACCACATCAATTTTTCGTTACTGCAGTAATGGCTATTAATGACAAATGACTGATTTATTATAAATCAACGATATTAGCGACCAATCCGCTACTTTTGAAACTTCAATGAAGGAAACAAAATCTTATTCAAAAATTAGTGACCATTTTTGTAATTTACCCTTTCTTTTATTGATTTACTGCCTACAGCTTTAAAATTTCGTAATTTTCCACCCAGTCTCTCTTCCTTTGTCTTGACGCCACATCAAAATGCAAATAGTTGGCCATTGCATTTACTGTGTTGCATTCAATACGCACACTTGTAACTTCAATTCAGGCCATATAATTTTTGTTCAATAGTTTGGGATGATTAAAATGTAATATCTGTTCAGAATTTTTCTTAATCATTGACAATAAACACATACATTACAGACGCAAATGCTCAAACTCAAAATTTCTAAGGAAAACATTCCTTTAACCATATAATTTGAAAGTCTGATCAGAGACCTCTGATTACATTACTCATCATGTTACAACAAAAAGGTATGCAGCAGAGTCCAGAGTGTCTTAATCCAAATGTGAAAGAATTTAAATTATTGGATCCCAGTCCCACTGCATCCAATACAGCTATGAATACCTATGATAATTTATACACAATAGAACACTCCCCCTTCTCGCTCTCTCTCTTTTATGTAATTGTAACTGAAATTCTAGCAGCCGGATTAGTGTACGGTCTAGAAAATCTGCACCAAACTCTCCTCACCACTCCAATATCTCACTCTGTTCAATCATTGGATAGGAAAGGGTATTTTTCCAATCCAATTAACTGGTATACTAAGGGCGAATGTCAGATAGAGTAAAATTAGTCTCCAAGGTGACCAAACCAAAATTACCCAACATAACAAATCAGCCAGAGCAAGCCAAGCAAAATTAAAATGGCAGATTACAGTACCACCAGCTTCTTGAATTTCTGACAAATCGATTGCTGGTTTGTGCTTTTATAGACTTCGATCATGGACTGTACAGCTTTATATATCATCTCTTTCTTTTGGCCCGTAGAATCACATCCAACAGTCTCAGATTGAGCACTCGTTTCCCCCAGCGAAGAGTATAGCATCTTAAACCAGTCCTCTAGAAAAGATGCTTTCTATTACACAAGAAGAGAAATGGTTAAATCGTTAGTATCTAACAAACCTATGGTCATTAGATTTAGTGCTTGATATCTTGTACAAATTTCTCTATCCATGCAAAACGCAGCCTTTCTATTTTGAAAGCGAGAAATCATCTATAACACAAACTATATGCCAAACATAAGTTCCATAAAAAGGTGCACTGGATTCATTCATGACATTTTGTGAATGTCAGAAAACGTTGTTTAAAGCTTACTTTGACAAGAAAATCTTTCAGCGGTTTGTGATCAGAAGCTGAAGCAAGGCTAAGAACATGCAACAAGGTTGAAGTTAACTGCAATAGAAAACCCAATAACGAGTCAGGCATGGCCTTGTCTTAATCACCGACACTTTTTTATGAAAATAATTAAAATAAATTAAGGAATTTATTCTAAAAATGTCATGAAACTTCTGATTCACAGGAATTATTGAGCGATTCGACCTGGATTAAGAAATAAGTACTTGTTTGAAAAATGCAGAGTGCAAGATTCCTAAATCATGTTATATCATTTCAAAAGACTTCATTATATGCATAGAATAACCTGCTTCTCCAGCGCAATCCTATATTTGAAACTTGAAGGCGCCGAAATAGAGTCTGAACCTAGATTCTCGACTACATGTTCCAGGCCCTGGACAATGTCCGGGAAAGATTTCCCATAATCTGTGTCAAACAAAGTAAGCTATGTCAAAACCCAGCTTTAACCTGTCAACAATATGATACTCTCAAGACCAAGAGTAAACAGAAGATTGAAGGTATCAGTACAACTCACCAAGTGCCGTTTCTGGCACAGCCAATGCAGCAGCAGCTTGTATCCTTATCTTGAAGTTCGAAGAATCACGTAGAAGTAACAGAAGAATACCAAAAACTGATGGAGCCCTGCCAGAATTGTATACATGCATATTGTTGTGATATACAAAATATTAGGAATTAATTTAGCAAGAAATTATGGATTTACTTAATCATAAGTATTTGTTGTAATATTCTTTTTTCCTTGTTTGTATACACAATTGATGATAGAAAATCAGATTTTAGCTTGTATGTTAGACAACTTGAATCATTCAGAAAAGTTAAACTATTAAAATTATGCGATATTTGAAGAAAAAGAGCATGAAGAAATTAGCATCATCATACCAATCCATATCCTGCAGTTGTATTGTCTTATTCAAAAACATATTGCTCAACGCATGACAGACATTCCATTGAACCTAGTCAATGTAAAGTCACAATAAGAAACAGAGCATAGCTAAACTGACATTAAAAATGATTTCATGCTTGTACGATGTTGAGATTAGAAGTTCTACAGAAAAATTAAAATGCAGGATATACCTTGACATTTCCAGTTGTAACACAAGAAATAAATGCTTGCACCATTCTCTCTAGCCAATGCAAATCCTTCAATGATGCAGGGCAGGATGAAGTTATCCCACCTCCATCAAAAGCATTCGGCTCACTTCTTGCTGGCTTTTTATCCACACATGGTGAACTCGAATATCTGAAAAATCGTGCAAGATTTCCTAGAGCTCTTACAGCATTAGATTTGACCTAATAGGAAGAAACATAAAGAGAAGTAAAAGCTACAAGAATTTCTAACTGATGTAAGAAGATGATAGTTACAATCTCTCTTCTAGATATTAAAGTTCACAAAACCATCACTCGGCTGAACTTCAACCGAATATTTTGTTTTGACTCTTCATTTTCCCCAAGTACCTGCTTCCGGAACTTGTATCTAAAACACTAGTGCGAGTATATGACCTCCAAGGATCCTCTAAACATATGGAAAGACCTAGAAAACCGACCATGCCCCCTATCGGATATGTACTTGCATGCAACACTCAAACTGGAATTTGAGTAACATTAAACATATAGTTACCAAAATGAAGTAAATCTAACACCCGAGCAACCAGGATCAAGTATACACAATATATACAAATAAAAGATCAGCAAGTTCCACAGTTTGCCATCAAGTAAAAGGTATCTAGACAACCTGACAGCATTTCATTCGTTCTTGGACCAATATGGAACAAATATTCATATATCTGAGCCTAAAACTACTGAATTCAAATTTAATGAGAACACATTCTTGCTAGCAACAAATTAGTAGCACGCAAATGGATTAAGATAAAATTAGATGTTGTATAAGCAACAGAAAATCCACTACACAACTGATATATGAGGTGAAGTCAAAGTACCGTGTACATTTTCTAAATTGATAACCATGCCCTCCCATCTTATCCGTTCTCTTTTTCAGATGAAGAAATTCATAAATACGTTACCCAATTGTGAAAGAATATATATGCTAAAATGCATAAGTATTGTCAGGACAAACACAAAAAGTTGTAATTGTATCCAAGCATACACAACAAAAAGGCAAAGTATCTAAATAAGCTATCGGTCACACCAATCTCCCATTAATCCATAAAAGGTTATAAGGTGCCTAAAACCATATCATACCTTGTCTCCATCTTTTGTTAGACGCAGAGCACACTCAATTAACAACTCCACTAAATGGAAGTTTGTTTCTGAATCTATAACTGTGCATGGAAAAAGTAATCAGATACTTGGAAACATTTGTGTCAAATATATCAGATTCAAATATGTTTCCCTCAAGCCAGAAAGTTACCTGTTGATTGTTTTAAAGGAAAATCCTCAACAAAGTGACGGAGAGAATCACATATGTTTGCCAAAGCCCAAGAAGCTGGTATGCGCACCTGCAAAAGTATTTTTAAGTGATGCTTGCATGTTGAACACTAGATATATAAACACTCTTCTAAGGTCTAAATCAAGATGAGTAAGAATTACCGAGACCACAGGATCACGAGTGTTAATCTCAACAGCATGGATAAACTTGCCAAGGATCTCTGCACTAAATAGTTTAGGCATTCTGTAAACTTTATGTTCGTGATTTTTGCACATACAACCCATTAAATAATAAAAGCTTATATCCTAGCATTGCATAATCACCTCTCAGGAGTTTTTTGGAAACATGAGACAACACCAATTGCTCGACAAGAAGCTGACCGAACCAAAGGAACCTTATCATGCTCAGCAGCATTGATCTACATTTTTATTTATCCAAACACAAATCTTAAGAAAATGCACGTTATGTAAGATAACCAAAAAAGGAGAACAGGAACACAAATTCAGGTTTAAAATAACACTATATCAGGACTTACTAGAGACGAAACAATGAAGTCCTGATTTTCCTTCGAGAGAGTGAAGAACACGGAAGAAGTGATTCCAGCAAAACAAGTTACTGATGCAGATCTCACCTTCCAAAGAAAAGCAGTCCAGTGTCATATACAGGTAAGGATAGAATGTTTCAATCATGTTAGAAGTGCAGTCCTCATTAAGAATGAATTACTAGGACAAATAATAAGCACCAAAAATTAAAATGTAACACTTCCCGTGTTAGTGAGAGAAGCTCCAGCTTCTCTCTAACATAGGCGATTTCAAATTTTGAATCTCCACGAGCCCAGGCGCTTTAGATCTATTCTCTCCCTCTATCATCCCCCGTTGTCCGCCACAGCCGTCCACCAACTGCCGCCGCCGTCTGCCGCCACTTTCCGACCACCGTTTTGACGCCGGTTTTTTCTTGGGATGATCACAGGCCCACGGTGATTTCGATTATGGCCTTAGATTTGTGATTGAATCTTTCAATCATCGCAGATCTTGACGAAATCCTCTGCCGTTTTTAGCCGCTTCCCGTCGTTCGTGCTCATCAACGCCGCACCACTGGACACAGCGCCTTCTCCCGACCAGAATCCCATATCCAAGTGTCGAGAATCTTTTATTCTCTCCTTTTATTTCTAGTAAACGGGGTTGGCAGTAGTTCATCCATTTCCTCCTCCTTCCTGTTTTTTCCAGACCTAACTATGGCACCCCAAAAAGTCCCGTTTTTTTAGTGAGAGAAGCTCCTGCTTCTCTCTAGTTTTTTAGGCGTTTTTTTTACAGCTCTTTCTTTGATCTCTCTTTTTGTCTTATGATGGCAAGTAAGGTGACTAGTTCTGCTGGGAAAAATTGTTTTACGGTGATCATTTTCAACATTCAAGAGCGTCTTCATCATAAAGGGCTTTGGCTATTATTCGATAAACATGGAGAGGTGGTCGATTCTTTCATCCCTAACAAAAGAAGCAAGGGAGGAAGTAGGTTTGGCTTTGTTCGTTTCACCAGATTGGAGGACGCAAGGAAGGCTATCAACTGTGTTGACAGATCTAGGATTCGCGGTAATGAAGTTAGAGCTTTTTTGGCTAGATTTCAACCCCGAGAAGCTTTTTGGAGAAAGAAGTTTTCGGGTTTAAAACCAGCCGAGATCAAGAGTAAAAGGGAGGATGTTGGGCATTTAGAGGCTCCCATTGTGGGTTCTGTTGACGAGGACAAACTGCTAACTTGCAGAGGCAGCTTGGTAGGGTGGTGCAGAAATTTTTTAAAGATGAATGAGTTGGCTGCCATAATGCATAATGAAGGCATTTTAGGCCCGAAAATCATGAGGCTAAGCGGGTTAGCAGTTCTAATCATTTTTGAAGATGATGAGAGTAGGGATTTCACGCTGAATAATCAGATGGGGGCATTGAATAAATGTTTTGGCAAAGTAGAAGTGTGGTCGGAAAACTTTCATTACAGCAGCCGTCGTGCGTGGCTTTCGTGCAAAGGGATCCCACCGTTCTTGTGGAATCCCTCCACCTTCAGAAGCATTGCAGACAAATGGGGAGAACTTATCTCCATTGACGAAGGATCTGTGAATCCAGGTTCTTTTGAAAGGGCTTTGTTTCAAATTATTACAAATCGTCAAACACGTGTGGAAGAATCCGTTGTTTTGAAAGCCGGGGACTTGTTATTTACAGTTTGTATTTCTGAGTTTGAGCCTTGTTTCAGTCCCGATTCAGTCTGGGCAGACTCGTTCTTGATGGATGAGGCAGTTGCTTCCCCGTTATCTTTGGTGGGGGAGCTCGTCGGTGTCTCGCCAGTTAATTCTCCCGTGGTGGAGGTATGTCTTGAGGGAACTGGCAGAAACGAGGACTCTTCGGTGGAGAAGATTTCTGAGCGTTGTTATGTGGATGAAGAAAGTCTATTATGTTGTATGGGGGAAAGAGTTAGTGGCTGCTTCTCGTCGGGTGGGGAAGTAGTGGAAAGGAACATAGGGGAGGATTTTATTATGGGCTTCAGGAATTATGCTGCTGGTTTGGGGATTATTCCATCGGAATTCGAGGATGTGGTGGAGCATGAGAATGTGCTGGATCAAGGGGCTAGAGAGTCAGTTTTTGAAAGCAGCGAAAGTTGTATGTCTGCACGTGATAGAGAGAGAATATTGGATTTTTTTGATTCATCCAACTTGGATGGTCGGTTAAAGGCAAAGGTGATGAAGAACGTGATTAACATTATCAAGAGGCGTGCTATTAGTAGTTCAAAGGGTGTGGAGGCCCACCAGGATGGGGATGCCAAACAGATTGGGGCGGTGGTTGACAGGCTGGATGGCAGAGATATATCGGGGTTAGCAGAGAAAGTTTCGGGTTCCCAATTAATGGCCTGATACAGCCAAATCAAGCAGCAGTAGAAGGTTCAATGTGTGGGAGATTTTTCTGTTCTGGGAGCCAGATTATGATTCCATTTTTCCAGCTTTGGAGCCAGAGTCTATAGTTTGGTTTTCTGCCCTCTTCGTGTGGATGGAAGCTCCTGGATGTCTGTGTTTTATTTTGGATACTATGGTTTGAGTCAGCTGTCATTTTCTTGTCTCTTTTTTAGGTGTTCTGTTTTCTGGTGCTCTCCGAGTCAAGAGTTAGGCTTTTAGTTGGGTTAGTCCTTTAGAGGATGTTGTGGTTGATATTAGGTTGAGCTACTGTTGCTGCTATGGGGTGTTTTTTGGTTGTTTTATTTTTTTTTGATAGGAATAGGAGGTCTCATTAAAAACCTCCCTCATAGTTGCCTCTTGAGAAGAGGCAACTAACGGAAGGAGGAAAAGAGTACCTCAATATATTAATAAACCCGAATTACATACAACTATAACTTACAACATCACCCGAAGTAAAATACCAAACATAACCGCTAACAGTAAGGACATTCAACCTATCCCCTCCTTAGCTAACTTGTCCGCCTCCCAATTACAAGCCCTAGGAATCAGCCTAACCATAATATCCCTACCCGAAATTACATCCCCAATTTCCCGAACCAAAGAACTGAAGAACGAAGGAGCCTCAGTAGGCCTGAAAATCCAATCCACTGCAGTCTTACAATCACTTTCGAGAATAAGTCTTCCCTTCAACGCCCAATCCGAATGTAGAAATAGATCAATTCCTTCTTTAATGGCTTTCAACTCAGCAAACAGAGGAGGACCAGGTCCGACAGGCTTAGAGAAATAGATCACGGTAGAGCCATTCGAATCTCTCAACAGACCTCCAATTCCACCCTGCAAACCATCACTTCTAACAGCCCCATCCACATTGAATTTATAAAAATCAGGTGGACGTGAATACCAGCACAGATCCTTCTTCTTCTTCTGAAAATTGACTGCTAAACCATCTGCTAGCCTTGGATCTCCTATTAATAGATCTACCTGGATGTTAGCTTCAGGAAATTTAGCCAGAAACCATTTGGCCAGCCTGAATCTGCAAATGAAGAACAGTGTAGATCTCTCAAAATTCCATTTTTCAAACACCACTAAGTTCCTAGCCTTCCAAATCGACCACATAACAACACCCGGGATGAAATTCCAAATAGAAGAAGAAGCCTTCAAATCAGACCATGAACTAAGTAGAGACGGGGGATCTTTGGGCAGAACAGTATTAACCTCCCATAAATTGATGAACAAATTCCACAACTCCCAAGCAACAGGACAAAACATAAATAAATGGTGAATTGTTTCTTCCTCCTTTTGGCATAAAGGACATATTAACTCTTCCAAAGGAATACCTCTTTTCTTCAATTCCACTCTAACAGCTAATTTTTGGTGAGATAATTGCCATAAAAATGTTTCAACTTTTGGGGGAGCCAATCCAGACCAAACCCATTTCTTCCACTGAAAATTTCCTCCAGAGCTACGAATAAGAGCTGATCTACAGGCCTTAACTGAGAACAAACCATCTCCACTCCCAGACCAAATTAGGAAGTCATCAACAGCATCAATCAAGATAATATTATCAATCAAAGTCATTAGCGATATCCATTGATCCAATTCCCAATCGCATAAATTCCTCCTCAGACAAATATTCCAACTCCAACAATTATTATCATAGCAGCCAAAGTCCACAACTTTCCCCGTTTTGTTAATCGATAAAGCATAAATCCTAGGAAATTGTTCTTTTAAGGTGGAATTATTAGCCCAAATGTCATTCCAGAATTCGATTGATCTACCATTCCCCACTTGGATCTTGGAATTGGACCTCAGACAGTTCCCAATATCGTCCTTTTTCTCATAATTATTCACAATTCCTCTCCATATCCATGAATCTTGCGGGTTAACAGCCTTATTAATTGAAAGAGACAAATTGTTAATATTGTGCTTGCAGCAGATCATCTCCTTCCACTGAGAATGTTTATCATTTGCAAACTTCCAAACCCACTTCCCCAGAAGCACTCTATTCGCCATCGACAAATCCAGGACACCCAAGCCACCCTCCTCGTACGGTTGACACACAATTTTCCAATTCACCCAATGAATTCGCTTCTTCAAGGGATCGTCCCCCCAAAGGAATTTAGCCATCAGAGAATTCAACTTTTGGTTAATCTTTAGAGGGATTTTGAAAATAGAGAGAAAGAAAATTGGCAAGGACGACAAAACAGACTTCACTAATACTAATCTCCCTGCCATCGAAAATGTTTTTGCTTTCCAGCCCTCTAATTTGCTATTGAACTTCTGCAGAACTGGTTCCCACAACAGATCCGAATTTCTGTAAGTGCCTATCGGTATACCAAGGTATGTCATAGGAAGAGCCCCAACACCACAACCAGCGATCGTAGCCCATTCCTTTAGAACCTCCTCATCCATATTAACACCAAATAACTTGCTCTTTGATAAATTAAGTTGGAGGCCTGTCATTAAACCAAAGACCCTCAATACTCTCCTAATATTCATAATTTGAGCAGAAGAGTCCCTGCAGAAAAGTATTAAGTCATCTGCGAATTGTAGATGCGTCAAATGAAACTTATTTTCCGCCCTACCAACACTGAACCCTTCGAATAGATCACAATCAGCAGCCTTAATCAACATTAGATTCAGTAATTCCCCAACAATATTGAACAGCATAGGAGACAAACTGCAGCCTTGCCTCAACCCTTTCCCCATCTTGAATTCATTAGTCGGAGAACCATTGACAAGAACAGAAATTGAAGCAGAGGAGATGCACAAATCAATCCAAGAAAGCCACCTATCTCCAAAACCCATAATTCTCAGGAGTCTCAACAATATCGGCCATTCCACCGAATCATAAGCCCTTCGAAAGTCCACCTTGAAAACAACACCTTTCCTCTCTTTTTTCCTCCAATCATCAATAACTTCATTAGCCAAAAAGGCACAGTCCAGTAGCTGCCTTCCGGGAATGAAGGCAAACTGAGACGGACTAACCAGAACACTAATAACAGCCGCAAGCCTTCTAGCTAGGACTTTGGAAATTATCTTATACAGACTGCCAACTAAGCTTATCGGTCTGTAATCTTCTATACCTTCAGGATTTCTGATCTTTGGAATCAACGTTAGGAATGAATGATTGACCCCATGCTCCCAAATCCTTCCATTATAAAAGTCCTCGACAAATTTCATAATGTATGACTTCAGAGATGGCCAAAATTTCTTAAAGAAACCCATGGTGAAACCGTCTGGCCCCGATGCTTTGGCACTATCCGAGTGCTAGACTGCCTCCCACACCTCCTGTTCTGAGAATCTAACTTCAAGAAGCTTCTTTTGATCATCTGTCAATTTAGCAAAAGTCAAATTGATTTTGTCCACCTCTAGGGTTGTTACCGAGTTAAAATTGTCCTTGAAATAATTAAAAACAAAGCCTCTCAGCTGATCCGGTTCTGAAATAACATCCTCAGCTACCTTCAATGAAGAAATAGTGTTAAACCTATTCCTATTCAAAGCACACATGTGAAAAAACTTTGTGTTTCTATCCCCCTCAATACTCCATCTCACTCTTGACCTCTGCAGCCAAATGCTCTCCTCCTTCCTATGCAAATTCCACAGCTCCTTCCTCGCAACAACCATCAAGTCCCATTCTTGAAAAGAAATCCCCTCTTCCTGTAGCTTCAATTCCAGACCATTAATTCTGGATTCTAATTCAGAAATAGCATCGGAAAATCCCCTGTGATTATTCCTTGGCCAATTCCTAATAGCCTGCTTAGTTCCTCTAAGCAGTGAAAACAGGCCCCTACCACCAATACCCTTCCTTAGATTTGATAATGACGATTCCACCACCCCAGCAAACCCATCTTCCTCAAGCATGTAATTATAGAACCGAAACGGCTTAGGGCCCCAATTATTGCATTCTTCTACCAACAAAACTGGATTGTGATCCGAAAGGGATTTAGGAAGCATTTTTGGATCACATTTGGGAACTGATTTAAAAATGATCCACTAATCTAATCAAAATCTATCCAACCTTACCCAAGTAGGTGACTCTCTATTATTGCACCATGTAAATCGCCCCCCTACTAGCGGTAAATCCATCAGATTTGATGACTGAATAAAAGACCTAAGCAGATCCATAGAGTGCCAATTCTGAGTAAACCCACATTTCTCCTCAGGGTCTAGATAAGCATTAAAGTCCCCCCCCCAAGCAGACCGGCAAGTTGATGCTTTGAACAACACATAAAAAAACCCTAAAAAATTCCTCTTTATCAGCCTCTACTGATGGACCATACACATTGATAATGACACATTCAAAATTGCTCATCTTAAACTTCCCTGATAATGTCATAAATCTACTACTGTTAATCTGTGCACTAACCTCAAAGTAATTCTCATTCCATAAACATATTAGACCTCCTGCCGAACCATCAGCTGGAAAAAACAACTGCCTCTGAGCAGATTACCTCCAAGCTTTCTTGTTAATCCACTTCTACAGACGTTCAGTTTTGATTCTTGAAGTAGTAAAATAGCCGGCTTTTCTCTAAGAACCAACCTCGACACTGCCCTGATTTTTTCAGACTTCCCAAGCCCCCTAATATTCCATGTAATCATTTTTAGTTTTTTTTTTTTTTGATAGGAATTGTAGGCCTCATTAAAAACCCCCTTCTTGATTAAGGAACTTATAATGAGTTCCTTCATCAGAGGAAGGAGGAAAAGAGTGCCTTAAACTTCATTAATGATAATACCTAAGATTACAACAAGAAGAAGCCCCTTACAACAATTTGAAAAACCCATAATAAAATACCCCTAAGATACACTGGAATTAGCCAATGGCAGATTTAGCCATCCCATCAGCCTCAATATTGGCTGCCCTAGCAACCCATCTAATAACACCCTCAACTTCTTTTAGCTTGATAGTTATGTTCCTTACAAGACTGACAAAAATCTGAGGGCAGAAAGTTCCATTCTTAACCCAATCCACGGCCAATTTGCAGTCTGATTCTAACAATAAACGACCATTAATACCTCCTTTCACTGAATCAAAGAAAATTAAGCCCTTCTGAATAGCCCTTAGCTCCATCATAATAGGTGGACCTGGACCCGTGGCCTCCTTAAAAGATCCTAGAATAAGACCTTCCTCATCTCTTAGAATACCCGCAACTCCACTGCTGTTCCAATCCGAATTTGTAGCAGCATCCACATTCAATTTTACAAAGCCCTTAGGAGGGGGGGACCAAGGAACTGTAGTAACCATCGATTTGTTGAGAGGGAAGCATGAATCCCCAAGAGACGGGTCCCCGATTAGAGAATCCATTGAAATACCAGAATCTGCAAACTTAGCTGAGAACCAAGATGCAAGTCGTACTCTTGCTAAGAAAAATAGATTAAGATGGTCAAACTTCCCTCTATCAAAAACAATATCATTTCTTATCTTCCAAACAGTCCAAATAATAACGGCAGGAATGAACTTCCAAATGGTAGACCTAGGATTAAGATCTTCCCAAGCTTGAAGAAACTTCTGCGCATTTGTATGAAAAACCACAAAAAGACTCCAATACTGCACAAATTTGTTCCAAAGTGACCACACAACTGAACACGAGAAAAATAAGTGAGAAGAAGATTCAACCTCCAAATTACATAAAGGACAAGAAGGATCTGTTATACCCGTAACCCCTCTCTTAACCAATTCAGACCTCACTGGCAGTTTTTGAAGAACTACCTGCCACATGAATACCTCAACTCTTGGTGGCACCAGACCTTTCCACACAAATTTCTTCCAAACATAATCCTCCTTCTGAGCCAAAGAACAAGTCTTCACACATGAATTAGCAGAATAGACACCAATTCCGTTTCCTTTCCAAATCAGACCATCGATTGCCTCTTTAGACAGATAAAAATTAGAAATGATAGCCATCAGGTTAGCCCACTGTTCAAATTCCCAATCGGCTAAGCTTCTCCTCAACTGAATATTCCAGATCCATCCCAAAGAGCTGAACTCGCCAAATTCAATCAGTTTTCCAAGCTGGTTTGTAGAGATTGCGAACAACCTCGGAAAAGAAACCTTAAGAGGACAGTCCATTGCCCATTTGTCCTGCCAAACTGAATAAATTGACCATTCCCAACTTCTAGTCTGAACATGCTGCGAAAATAGCAACCAAAAGAGTCTTCTTTAAAATAAGAATTCACCACCGAGCTCCAAATCCAAGAAGCTTGAGCTGGGATTTTGCGATTGAACAATAAAGAAAAAGGATCAATATTGTATTTTGAACAGATCATTCTCCTCCAAACAGCATCCTTGTCATTTGCAAATCTCCAAGACCATTTCCCCAATAGTGCCCTGTTCATATTGCTAATATTTAACACTCCTAAACCACCAGCCTCCTTTGGCTTACACACGTTAAGCCAACTAACCCAATGAATCTTATTTTTCTCCGCTCCTCCTCCCCATAAGAACTTAGACATGATTGAGTTGAGTTTAGAAGTTACGGATGATGGAATTTTGAATATAGACAAGTAGTAAGTAGGAAGAGAACAGAGAACCGATTTAATCAAAACTAGTCTCCCTGCCAAGGAAAGGGTGGCAGCTTTCCAACCTGCTAGTTTGTTGTTAAATTTTGAAACAACTGGATCCCAAAGAGCGATTTAATCATTTTTAGTTTTGACATTTGGTTTAATAACATTCAACACCAAATTCAATCCACAAGGTACAATCAGGAGGCCTTTCCAATCCCCAACAATTCCATCTTGAAAATCTCATCCTCTACAATTTGATTCCCCCCTTTAAAAGAAATTCCCAGCATGTCACAGACTTCCCTAGTATATTCCGCTTCCTGCCTGGCTTGAACAAAGTCTTGAGATGGCTGAGACACCTCCCTAGCGTATTCCACTGACTCCCTGTCCGTGCTACTAGTCACCCTCCTATATATTCTATCATGAAATCTTACTTCCACTTCACCCTCCGAACATACACTACCCGAATGACAAGGAGCAATTCTGAAAATTCTCCTGTTCATTAAATTTTTTGACCGAGAAAAGCCCTGACCAGAATTTTTTGTAGACTCCAAACTGCTCTCCTTATCTAAGAATTTGCCATCCACCTCATGGTCACCAGATACACTATTCCTATCAATGTCCATTTGTCTATGAGAATTTAGCACAATATCCTCAAGTATACTCCGCTGCTCGATAGCCTGCTCTACAATCAATTCAACGCCCTGCTCAGCTTGTACCAATTCCTTCTCCCCCCCTGAAATTATAATCACTTGCCTAGGATTATCAACTTCTACAGGGACCAAAGGATTGACTAAATTGTTATTGGGCTGGAAAATTAGTTTATCTCCAATCCTTTTTACATTATATGCAGGCCCAGAAGGACAGATTTTCATTGTAGAGTTTAAGGAAGACTCATTAACATCAGATTGGTTTTTTTCAACGGGAGAAGTACTTTCCCTCAGACCTAGTCCCACGTGACCTTCCACTTGGAAAGACCTATTTTCCACAAAACCTGACAGCCCACAATTGGACTTTTCTGCATTTGACTTTCTTGAAATAGCCTGACCCTCAGTAACTCCATTCATACCACTATTATGACCATTATTCAGCCAAGAAGTAACTTTATGCGAAGAAATCTCTGCAAAATCTTCTCCTTCAACTGCTCTTTCTGGAACACAATCCTCCTCTGACTCGGAAAGGACAGAATCCCTGTTCACCTTGTTTGAAAATTTCTCTTCCATCTTCCTCCCCAGTTCCTTCGGCTGGATCAACACAGACCCCATGAGAATCTTAACTTTGAAAGATCTACCATAAGAACCTATAGTGACCATTTCTGGAACATCGAAGGGACTCTCCACCCTTAACAAAACCTTCGCAGACGAAAGGATGTATCTCATCTTTGATTCTTCCTTAAAACAAATGAACCTTCCCCAATCCTTAGTAAGCTTCTCCAAGAAAGCCTCATTCCAGCACAATAAGGGCAAACCACACAGTTCTATTTGGCACAAAGCCAAAGGAACTCCATTCTCATTAACTGCTGGAGCTAACCAATCGAAACACAAGGACAACTCTTCCTTCTTGTTCTCCCAAGCATAAGAAAATTCATCAACAGAATCAAAAGTGATGATACAAGCCTTCCAAGCATAACCCCATCTCGACACCTGGATTCCCAATCCCTCTATCTCCAAAGCTTCCTTTACCGACTCATAATCATAAGTTGATTTCATTATTCCTGTTAATGATCGTTTCACCCACTTGAAATTGTCTGTCGCAATATGCATCTCCCACACGTTCCTCACACCAGTAGCATTACGTTTGCTACCCTCCACAAACATCTCTGACTCTTGTTCTCTTCTCTTGCTTACATCAGACCTCGCTACTTCCTTATACGTTCTGCCATCCCTGAAGCTTTGCAACGACTTTGCCTTTAACCCATTTAAAACCAAGTCCTGCTCTCTTGACTTGATCCTCAACATACTCTTCCCATCATCAACCTCCTTAGTTCCCTTCTGATACTTAGCAACCCCTACCGATAATCTCCTCCCATCGAACCATCTCCCATTCACAGACTGGATAGCTTTTTCCCTACTTTCCTCATCAATAAATTGGACAAAAGCGAATGTTGAGGACTTGTACTTTGATTTCTCTAAAAACCGCGGAATGAATATTCTCACAATCTGACCATAAGGGCTAAAAAACTCTCTAAGCACACGTCTTGAAACCCTCTTACTAAGATTGTCAATGAACACTGTCCATTCCTCAGTAGAAGCAATGGACTTTTTCGAGTTTTCTGTACTTCTCTCTCTACCTATCTCACTCATGATTTTAAACTGGGACACAAATGCATGGATTTGTTTTTTTTTTGGTTGTTTTATGGTGTTTTGTTTTATGTACGGGGTCGATATCTGAATGTATTTTGGTGTTCTTATGTTCAATGAAATTCTAAGGCACTCTTTTCCTCCTTCCGCTGATTAAAGAGCTTCTATTTAAGTCTCTCTAATCAAGGAGGTTTTTAATGAGGCCTTCATTTCCTATCAAAAAAAAATAAGCACCAAAAATTGCAGCAAACAGAAGAATTTATCCACAGGGTTAACATCTATTTGTCAACCAAGTAGATAATGGTAAGCAATAAAATGAAGGGAATGGAAACTATAAGTTATACTATGCCTGCAGGGAAATAAATGACGCCAAATTGAATTCCCAATTAGGATGGCTTTACTAGTTAGTTATCATCAGAAATAGGAAATTTATCTGACAGTAGCAGAAGATTTATTTTAATAATGCATTAATCCAAGAACATGTAGCCCTCAAAAACAAGTTTCTTGTACGCAAAAAATTAAACTTCACCATTCAAATCATTGGTCTTACATACAGCACCAATGGCCATGCATATTAAATCAGAATTCTAAAACTTTTCCAGAAGAGTCAGCAGTTAAGAATTTGATTGTCAAATGTATCTCTATTTTAGTTTCTCCAAAAAAAATAAAAGCCACATGAAGTTGGAAATAATTTACACCATAACATAACTGACCCAGAATTAGACAGAGGAAAACCAAAAATACAGGGATAAGGCAAAGAGAATTCTGCATGCATCCACCTCTACTTGCACATGGAAGAACAAATACAAAATAATGATGATGATGATGAAAAGGAGAGTCAACCAACACAGCATGAATAAGTCTTAATCTGCTACATGTCAGTCATCTGCAAAAACTGAAGAAAGGGGGAAGAAGAATCTAACCAACCATTGCAGATATATGCCATAGAATGAGAGGCATGAGCTTCTCAATTGTCTCAGCCCACTGCTGACTTCCTGATGGACATGTATTTCTTTCTTCTTTAGCATCTTCCAAACACTTGGGCCCATATGATGGGGCTGACGATACTTTCTTTGTCCTTATGCAATCAGAAGTAAATGGGGAATCCAAAAAAAATTCAACCGAAAGATCCTCAGTTCCTCTAAAACCAGATATTGCACGAAGGCATTCGTCCAAAACCTGATGAATAAAATCATAAATTAACATCAGAAGGGAGAAAAGGGAAATTCGGAAATGGAAACTGGACAAACTATCATACAGAGAGGGGCATCTTTGCCTCTCATATAGGTAGTGTAGATTGTAGATATGTCGTGTATATTAGTTATTGTAACTAGTTAGTTTCAGTCTTAGTGGGAGACTTATCTATCTAATTAGTTATTATAGATAAGTCACTAGTTTATCTCTAAGGTAGTTTAAAATAGAGTGTTACTTAGAACAGTTGTACAAGAGTTTTTAAAAAAGAAAGACTCTTCTTTTAGCAATTGAGTGATATAGAAATTAGAGAAACTCTTTTTCTCTAAACTCACAGGTAGCTCAAACTATCATATCAACTACTGAAACTACCCTAAGATCTAATACATCTGATAACTCTGGCAAGAACAATCTGCTGCCCATCTATGTCTTTGGTGCACAGATGAGTTTCTGTATTTTCCAGAACCAAAATCCAAAGGAACCACAATAAAAACAATAATAATAACTATAGAGTAAATTTAGAAGGATTTCATCTGAAATGTCAATGTCAATGTCAATTGGTCACAAAGATTATGGTTACAAACTTATTTAATAATAAATAAATAAATAAAAGGAGGAAACCAGTTGGCAATGTCACCTTTATAGAAGATGTAACGATTTTTTCCCCAACAAACACAGTAGTATTTCCAGCTTGTTCCTTCCAGGATTTCGTTGCAATTTCAGCGGTACCTTCTCTCAGAAATTTATAAACAATGGCAGAGAGTTGTCCCCAACATACTAACATTAAGTCCGGATAATTGTGTGAAACAGCACGAAGGGCCTGCAAAATGAAATGCATATACATGCATAACAGGTATTTTAAGATCAAAATACTCGGAAGAAATTTGAAGAAAAATGAACTCAGACCTCAAGTTCCAAAATCAAATATCAACAATCAAAACCTAATCCATCTCCCTCCCCACTCTCTCTCTCTCTATAAATATATGTGTGTGTTTGTGTAGATACAAAAATTGAGAGATTCGCATATACATGTGTGTGTATGAACTACATAAAACTAGGTTCTAATTTACATCCATTTAAAATAAAACCAATCTAAAAAAACATGAGTGAGAAAGGTAGAGAGAGAAAGAGAGCGAGCGTGACATGTCGTTCATCCTCCGATGAGGAATGGACTGTCTTCGTAGACAATCTTAGTAAAAGAGTTACTACAAGAGAGTTAAGATAGGTTTTCAGTCATTATGGTCGAGTATTGAGGGTCTTTATTCCAAGTTTTATGGTTAAACCGAATTACAAATCATCAACGTTTGCCTTTGTGCAATATGCGATGGAGGAAGGTTGTAGAAGAGCAATATAGAATGTTAATGGAACGTTGATTGACGGTAAGAGAGTCTCAGTGGGGGATGCAAAGTATAGGAAGGAAAGGAAAAGAGAAACAGTTGACAAAAAATTTCAGGTGGAAGGTAATAAGCAAGTTAGAGGTGACAAAGGTACGAACAGGAGAAACCGAGAAGTATGAGGGATGGCAGAATGTATAATGAGGTGTTGAATGTGGATAATAGAAGGAGAAGGGAGCATGAAATAGTGGAAAATAATGGAGGTCATAATAAGAAAGCAAATGGATTAAGGAATGTATAGGAAATGCACATTCCTACTGAAGATTCATGCTGGGTGAAAAATTCTTTAACAGGGGTTATCAAATATCCCTTACAGCCTGATATGGTGAAGAAGGCTTTGGCAAAGGAGGGATTTGAGGTCAAAATAGTAAGCTGGGGATACGTAAGGAATGTCTGTATTATTATGTTCAATTCCAATAAAGAGTTCTTAAAGGCTTGGTCGAATATTCACGAGAAGTTTTTCTGGTTTCATTGGATATCTCCGTTGTTGAATGAAGAAGGTGTTCCATTGGCGTATTGCTTGGTTGAGTTGGTTGGATTACCACTTCTTAGTTGGACTGTACCTTTTCTGGAGAAACTTGCAGGAAGGTGGGGAGAGTTTGTAAGTATCATGGAGGAGACAAGAAAGAGAGAGGACCTCTCATCGGCAAGATTATTGCTAAGGGTAGCAAGCCCTTTTGATGTACCTGAATTTATTACTGTGGGGTCATATGGAAGATCTTTTAAAGTCAAAATTAATTTGGGATCAAAGTGTAATAAATTCCCAGTTGCAATCGGAGAAGAGATGCAGAAGTATTCAGAAGATAGATATAGTGCTGATTATTCGAAGGAGGATGATGGAAGATTTTCAGAGAAGGAAGAAGACAATTGGGAAAAGTCAACAGAGGAAGTTTGGTCAAAGGTGGACACGTGGCTACATCAAGGACAAGAGAGTGGGAGGAATGAAAGAGGCGGGGAACAATCTCTAAAACAGAAGTCCCACACGGAACCTAACATTAATGGGTTGTCAGGTAACTTTGAATTTGAATTTGAAACTAATCCTTATTGGGATTATGCGGGTCTTGGGCTGCGAGAGGAAGTGGATCAGATTCATTCAGCCCAATATGATTCTAACTGGGATTCATATTCCCTAGTCACAAAATTAATTCCTGTTGGGCCTGCTATTAAATTAAAATGGGATGGGCTAGAAAAGCAAAATAAATCCCAGTCTCTTTATGAATTAGAGGAGGATGAAAGATGTAATCTAATACAGGAGGAAAATGAGGGAGTCCATGAAGATGAAGTTAATGTTTATGGTAAGGAAGTAGAAGGAATAGTGCTGCAGGAGGAAAATAGTGATGAAATTGTGAAGAGTTCTAAACGATGGAAACAGGGCTATCCAGTATCTGCATGTTTGTCAATTAGAAGTGCACCCGGTGGAAGGAGGGAAAAAGAGCGCTATGCTAGAGTTTATAGAAGGTCAAGAGATAGACGAATCTGGTTATGTTCGACTAATGAAGCAGATATATTTTGTTCAGAGGTTATTCCGAATCAAGAACAGATTTTTACAGATTGCAGAAATTTTCAGCAGCTTTCTTCAGAAAATAGGGGAATTGGACAGGAAAAGGATATCAATTGTTCTGTTAATGTTCAAAATACACCTATGGTCCCTTTACTTTGCAATAATTATTCAGAGAGTATGGCAGCAACTTATCATACTGCTTCAGGGACAGGAAAAAATAACAGAAGAAAGAAGAGTTTTAATCAGTGAAGCTTTGGAGTTGGTTAATAATTCTACTGTTTTTTCACCTCAATTCTCGAAGTTGATGGAGGAAGCATTGGCCACATGGGAAGTTTGTCAGATGTTAGGTATTTCTTTCAAGGAAGGGAAGAATGCTTTTATTGAAAAAAAATGAAGTCTTGAGAATGGTTCGGAGGTAGTAAGGGAAGGTTAACATGCCGGTTTGCAGGGTAAGGTTTTGGTGTTTGGGAGTGAAGCCTATATATGCATAAATTAAGTATAATTTTGTGGAACATTAGAGGTTTAGGGAGGAGTGAAAAGTCAGTAGCAGTCGCAAGGCAAGTAAAGAAGTTTAAACCAGTTCTGATTTTTATTCAAGAATCTAAGTTGGAACAATGTCATATGTCAATTACAAGGAGGATAGGAGGAAATTTGTTAAAGGGAGTGATGGTGTCTGAATAGATTTGAGAAAAATGATTCTGATATTTCTCTAACAGCATATTACATCTTTTAAAGTAAGCATTAGTGCAAAAAATAGGAAAGAATCCCTAAAAATTAGGAACTACAATTAGAGACATATTTACACTAAGTTAACTCCTAAAAATAAGGAAGAAGATTCAGTCCCTTAATTCTAGGATTTTCAACACTCCCCCTCAAACACATTCTCACTCGGACTTTTAGTTAGCAAGTCTGCAACTTGTTGCTTGGTAGGAAGATAGGTGATACAAACTTCTCCTGAATTTACCTTCTCTCTGATGAAATGACGATCTATCTCCACATGTTTAGTACGATCGTGATTAACTGGGTTATGTGCTATACTGACAGAAGCTTGATTATCACAATATACCTTCATAGGTTTAACATAGGATACTTTAAGTTCCTTCATTAATCTTTGTAACCAAATTCCTTCACATATACCATGAGATAAAGCTCGATATTCTGCCTCTACACTGCTACGAGCCACCACGGACTGTTTTTTACTTCTCCATGTCACAAGATTGCCCCACACATAACTACAATAACAACTTGTAGATCGTTTTTCACTCACTGATCCTGCCCAATCAGCATCAGTGTAAAGTTCTATGTCACGACTGGTGTTTTTCTTGAAATGAAGACCTTTACCCGGTGTTCCTTTCAAATACCTTAGCATCCTGTAAACTACCTCCAAATGTTTTTCCTTTGGAGCATGCATATACTGACTGATGACACTCACACCGAATGCAATATCAGGTCGGGTGTGAGATAGATAAATTAGTTTTCCCATGAGTCGATGGTATCTCCCCCTGTCTACTTCTTCCCCATCATCATCATTGCCTAGCTTAGAATTGAACTCCATTGGGGTCTCGGCAGGTTTACAACCTAGCATGCCAGTTTCAACCAATAAATCAAGAACATACTTTCGTTGGGAAATAGAAATGCTTGTCCGAGTCTGTGCTACTTCCATGCCAAGGAAGTATTTGAGATTCCCCAAATCTTTAAGCTCAAATTCTGTGCTGAGGAAGTCTTTTAGTTTCAACAGCTCACTCGAATCATCCCCTGTTAAAATAATATCATCAACATAGATGATAAGAATAGAGTATTTCTCATTTCCCGAGTGTTTGTAAAATAGTGTATGATCTGCTTGCCCCTGGGTGTAATTCCTGCTGGTCATAGCCTTAGCAAACCGGTTGAACCAAGCTCTTGGGGATTGTTTTAGTTCGTATAGTGACTTCTTTAATCTACATACTCGCCCTTTTTCTTCTTCAAAGCCTGGTGGAAAGTCCATGTATGCTTCCTCGCTCAAGTCTCCATTGAGGAATGCATTTTTTACATCAAGTTGTGTTAAGGGCCAATCAAGGTTGACAACTAAGGAAAGTAGCACTCGAACAGTATTTAGCTTTGCACCGGGGGAAAACGTCTCATCATAGTCAAGACCATAGGTTTCAGTAAAGCCTCTTGCCACAAGCCGGGCCTTGTACCGATCAGTACTCCCATCAGGCTTGATTTTTGTGGTGAAAATCCATTTATAACTAGGGATGTTCATTCGGTTAAAACGGTGGCCGACCGAACCGAATTAACCAAACTTTTTTTTTCTTTAACCGTTAATTGAACCGAATTTTTTTTCGAACATATTAACCGAACCGAATAAATTTCGGTTAATTCGGCTTATTCTTGAATTAGAATCAAGTTCGGCTTATTCTTCTTCACCAAATTAGCTACAACTCTTGACTTTTCCTTTTTTTCCAAGACCCCTTACATTCCAAGAAATAATGTTGACATTTATCATAACAAGAAGATCTACAACAAATCCTTTTAGCTAGTCAACAGAGAAATAGGGACTAAACCCCTGACTTCCCCTGTTCCCTACTCTCAGCTGAACCCTCTTCAAGGTTGATAATTTTGTCCAAAAAAGCCTTCTTCCCATCTTTGAATGAAATTCCTAGAATTTTACATACTTCCCATGTAACCATCGCTTCCTCCACCGCCTTCGAGAACTGAGGAGTAAAAACAAAAGGAGAATTAACCATATCAACTGCTTCCCTTGTTAAAACTCTTCTCTCCCTTCTTTTAGCCCTTCTTGACCCTACAGCAGAGAAAGGAACTACTGCCAAGACCTCCGAAGAACTATTACAATTAGTTGGTGCCACATAAGGGTTCTGATCACCAGCTACACCATTAAAAATCTCTTCCCTTCCACCTTCCATATTTATTGAAGAAGGTTGCAAATCCTTTCTAACCGGAATACCTTTGTGTTTATTCTCAAAACAGTTAATTCTCACCCTCGACCTAGTATAATATCTTTTATAGCTGGCCATTCTCCTCCTCTCTATGGGCAAACTTTTGGGACAAAGTGTTCTTCTATGCTGGAACAGCGATCTGCCTCTTTCCCTAATCAGTTCAGTTCCAACCCCCCTACAATCGTCCTTTTCCAAGACTACTACTTCCTCTAACAGATCCTTATTTGGCTTATTTGGAATCCCTTCAGATTGAGACTGTACTCTATCAATGAACCCACCCTCAATCGAAATATGTTTGTAACCTGACAAATCAGTATTCGAATTCTACAGTTTTGAGTCTACCAAAACAGTATGCTGAAACTCTCCTTGAACCTCCACCCTACTTAATTTAACAACATGCCCCACTGGAATTAAATTATTAACTGGTGAATCATACTCCTTGTTAGATTGTGAAGACCCAGCAGGCAACAAATTTGGATTTAAGTCTGCCGAGACATTAGCCCAATTTTGCTACTTTAGTTTATCAGAATCAGATTGCTGTTGAGAACCTGCCAATTCCACCCGAGACTCCAAACGGTTACCATATCCCAGTTTTAATAAATTAACAGCTGGCCCAGAAGGTACTATTCTGTAGATATTTGTATTAGACTCACTCGAGCCCTCTAAATGGGCTTCTTCAGATTCATTAATAGAGACATTTCTTAGACCAAGGCCCCTATAGTCCTCTTTAAAATTCAAATCTTCTGCAGAAAAACCTGACACCTTAGCACCACTAGGTTGACTTTCTCCATCCTGCAGCATTAAATGTTTACTTCCACTGCCGCCTGCCACTGTTGTGCAGACATCACCTACCAACCATCTGTCTACTGTGTCCCTCGAATTCTCAGCTGGCAATTGTGGGCTGCCTTCTCCACCTGAACTCCGGACTTCTTTCTCTTCCGATGAAGAATCAACTCTAGACACACCATCTCCGGCCACCTGAAGAATTTCTGGAAAAAAAACTTTCCTGTTTAGAACTGACCAATCCCACACTAATCTTAACCTTATACGATCTCCCATATGCACCCAAGGTAACAGAATCCTGTATATCATAAGGACTCGCCACCCTCAACAAAGCTCTTGCCACCGCCAAATCCTCTCTTCTGATCGTGGACTCATGAATACACACCAATTTCCCCCACCTTGAGACCAGCTTTTCCAAAAAAGATACATTACAACATAGTAAAGGGATTCCATACAACACCACTGAACAGAAAGCCATCGGGACTCCATCTACACTCATAAGTGGATCAAGCCAGTCGAACCAAAGTGACACTTCATCCCTTCTATTTTTCCACGCCTCCTCGAACTCTTCCTTCGACCAAAGGTTATAATGCAAGATTCCAGGTATAACCCCATTTAGTTCCTTTGACCTTGATCCCTTCACTAGCCAACCCTTCACTACTGTCCCTAGATCAAATGGGATTTAATGATCCCAGTTATTGATCTTTTCACCCAATCATATTCGTCTGGGGGAATATGCATTTCCCACAAATTCCTCACCCCTACTTCCTTGTCTTTATGGCCTTCCCAAATCACTTTAGACACCGGACCTTCTCTCCTTCCATCCAAAGATGCTAACGCATCCTTGTAAGATCTCTCTCTCAGTCGGTATAAGACTCTGATCCAGCTCTTCTACTCCGATACGTATCCTTTTTCCACTTATCTAATTCCTTACAGTCGTTACTTCTAACAGCCTGCTTTAGTCTCTTCTTCTGGTACTTAGCAACTCCTACTGAGATTTTCTTACCATCAATCCAGATACCATTAATATTTTCTATCGCCTTCAACAACCCATCCTCCTTTGCAAACTGGACGAAAGCAAACGTATAATTCTATAATTCGGCTTGTTGGAATTATTCGGGATGTAGACACGAACAACACTCCCCTGTTGATGAAACATTTCCTTAAGAGTTTTCCTAGTTACCCTTTTACTCAGATTGTCAACGAAAACAGTCCACTCCTCACCGGAAGATTGACCAACTGAAAACCTCTCTCTCTCCCACTTTCTCCCTAACACTCTCTCTCATCTTTTTTTTTCCCGGTTAGCTAACCTAAGAATTCTAATTTGTACTCCTTTTCTTTTGGATAGTATTATGTGACAATGAGATCATTCACTATTACCTTTCCCATTCATGGCCAAAAAGAATCTGTGAAATGTCACCAAGCAAGCAGTGCCATTCCACCAAATTTTGAAAACCATAAAATAAAAATAATAATAAAGATATAGCATCAATGGGTTGATGGCACCATACACATTAGTTATCCAAGAGCACAAGAATATCACAACAAAATAAATACTACACAATGCTACAAAAGGTTGAGGACAATCTAGATACTAGTTTAGAACAACCCAATTCGAAACAGTGGATACTTTAAGAAATTCCAGCATCAACAAACGATAGTGTTACAGAAAAGCTGAAGAGCCTGTAAATGGTGAGGAAAGGCTTAAGAATTACTAATAAAATATTTTGGAAGTTTAAACAGCATTTGTTTAACTTTACGAACATGGAGAGCAACTAACTGTATAAACCAATATTGACTTCCATCCTATTTACAGACAAAATCCTAAATGTATGGATATCAAATCAAACAAATAATACAAACAACCAAAAAATCCTTCAATTTCATACCAATCACCAATGTTTTCATAGTAATCCTTCAATTCATATAAGTAATCAGAAAAATCAAAATTTAGAATACAGATTTCTGTTCTAAAAGGCATGGTTTACACGGTCATACTGTACGACCAAGGTTCTGATATCATACTTGCTGTGGCATGTATTCCCACTAATTCCTAGATCATAAACAGACCAATCAATTTAAAAAACTGTCAAAATCAATATGGAATACCAAAACCACCTCAAACAAAGCACATAACATTTAGGGAACCTAAGAATCAAACTTAGTCACAACTAAAAAAGAATGATGTTCTAGGCTTACTGTACACAACAATGGCAGATACTCTAATCTTTGAGCATCGAGAACCATTAGTATCTTTGAGTGATCCATCATTGTCACTGTAATCGGAATCTGATGATGTAACATCACCATAGAGAAATATGATCAGAACCCTAAGAATCCAGAGATTTAGCCTGCCTGGCATTTAACTCTCCTTTTGCGCAAGTGTGGCGGCCGATATGGGTTATTTGTCTTTTAGGATCTTCTAAAGTCAACTTAAAACTCGGAAAACCGATTCTTTATCCTTGGAACTGCCCGCAGCACCGTGAGTTGGGTTCCACTAGTAAGGCCATAATTGAAAAACATTTGCAAGGATGTGACAAAACTGGACACCTGAAGCACATTTACATTACATCTGAAGTAGAAGAAAAAAAAATAACATTTAGAATTAACTTCTGACCCTGAGTTGTGATGATTTGCTTACATTCAGAAATAGAACCTTGGGATCTATAAGAACCAAATGAAGGCAATGCAGAAGAGATGCATAAACCTGTACACAACAAGAACATTCAGTTAATATTTGAAGAGAAATATCTGATTTAATTTTGTCATTTCTCTTCACGGGTAAGGAAAGCATGGGAGGAAAGATATACCTTGACATGATAATTCTTCCACGACCAACTCTTGGAGGCTAATAAGCCCATCTTCCTAAAAACCTAATTTATAAAATTAGAAAAAAATAAACTTTAGCAACATGTAACAGATGTCATCAAAGCCATGTAGAGAACTTACCTGAATAGTTGATTGCCAATATCAATCGAAAAGAAGAACCGTCCTTGAATATAGTTCGTCAGCATAGTAAAGGAGCAGTTTGAACTTCCATAAACTACCATTTCGCGGTAATTTCTTCCCCATTTCAATAGCACTCTTTTGATTGCCAGTTGAAGAATACAGGAGATTACATTCATATGCATACGAGCAATGATGTGGAGAATAACATTTACCAACTATCATCTTGCAGAGAGAATTTTCGTTGGTTTTCACCGACAATATGTCTGGGGATTAAAAAGAACGCTAATGAATTTGAGCAGCATAAAAATAAAACAAAAATGGATAACAAAACGAAGTGAAATTGAAAGAACCTGAGAGTTTCCAAGCATTCCAAAACTGGTTTACAAAGAAGCAGTGGAGTTTGCTTTGGCAAGAAAAAATTCATTAGTTTGGTGAGGAGTCAATAAGCAAAGCCCAGGACGAGGAATTGATATCGAGATAAACTCGATGGCTGACATCATAGATCTGGGGAACAAGGATAAGATTAGTTTCTATATAACAGATAAAAGAAAAGAAAAACAAGAACAATAGTGATTGAAACTCAAATACCAAGCGGCAAGTGTTGGAAATGTAGGGACCGAATCGTGTTGAAATTGGGAGGCATTGGCAACAAGTTGGATGAGAAAGAACAGATCGGAAGTCACCTGAAACCAAAATTTGAGATGCATTATCACATAAAAAGTTAGAGTACAGAAAACGGTGGAGTTTGCGAAATAATAAAGACACCTCGTGGGCAGGGAGGTCGGAGGCGGCAGAGATGAAAGAATAGTGAGAGTGGAGAAGATTAGGGTTGTAAAAGTTGAGGATGGAAGGAGGGCTCGTTAGAGTTTCTCTTCAGAGTGAGAAACGCCGTTCTCCATGATCTCACCGCCGTCATTGACGCAAAAGAACGAATACTACACGCTTGGTATGTAGTACGCGTGGTAATTGGACTGCGGCCCCAATTCAATCAACCTTAAGTAAGTTGACTGCTTAAGGCCCATGTCTCAACCAAAAATTAAAATTAAAATATAAAAGGTTTGATTCAGGGGGAAAATTAAAATAATAAAAAAAATTGTGGTCATGAACTTATACTAGTTTAATTATAGATCAAAAGATTAAATAATTTTTTATGAGGACTTAATTGATTCAATTGAAAACTTAATTGAATAAATCACCACGTGCATGAGTTAAGGAATGACTAATTTAAACATGGGTAAATATTGGTTTTATGAAGGATAATCCAAATTTAAAATTAGAAAATTTGGAGGCTTTTCGTCTTGACAGTATTACTAACAAATTTCCATTATTCTTCCTTTTTGTTCTTATTTTTCTCTCAATCCTCCCAACTCCTCAAAATCCAAAGATTTCTAAATCAACTTATTTTAATCCAAATTTGATGAGCTCAAACATTTCGAGTTATTCGAGTCGACAAGTCCTATTTTATAACTCGAATTTGACTTTAAATTTTTTCAAGTCGAGTTTATAAAATTTGAGTCGAGTCAAATTTCGAGTTTCTATTTAAATTTAATTGTAAATATAATATTATGACATTATTTTATTCTAATTTAAATGGTTTTTATAACCATACATAACATATATATTTCTTCATATATATTTTCATATGTGATATAATATTATAAAATATAGAGACTTGACTTAAACTTGAAAATCAATCCACTAATTACTAAAAATTTTGAGTTATTCAAGTTGTATTTTACAACTTGATTTGAACTTGAAATTTTTTCAACTCGAGTTTATGAAATTACAACGTAAAATCAATTTGAGCTGAGTTTTTTCGAGTCCAGTCGAGTTTTACTCACCCCTACTTGAATGAGTATATGGAATGTAAAGGAGTGTTCGAACTTTAATTTTAATCGAATTAACTGAATCAAAAAATTTATACATTGTTTACTATAGATTTATAACGTATTATGTTAGAAAAAGTTTGCATCCCCACCCCGACCACACACACATATAAAGTATATATATGATTTTATAATGTAGCAAGAATTTTATAGCTGCCCTAGAAGATAAGGCATCAAGATCTTCTTCAGGTTCCCCTACTTTCCTTGTCCTCTTAACATTTCCATATTCCCCCTACGGTTTTTGATACAACAGTGTAAGTCGTCCTAAATCGTAAAACCCTAAAATCTTATATCTTAATAATATCAATTCCTTGGTTTCCATATTATTTGCTAAGAAGTTTGGTGAAGATTAACTAGAGTGGACACGCATGGGAAATTGTCTGAATTATTGTACTTTGATGAAAGCAACATCCACCCAACGCAATAGATGTGAGGATGGAGGTGGGTACAAATACTTGCCATTGCTCTTCATAATCATATATACATTGTATATGTATAAATCAAACGATTTCCATAATTAAAATGATTATTTTTTATTGATTTTCAATTAAAATACATTGTTTACAAATATATTTAAATATTCATTATCAAATATTGGATAATCTTTTAAAAAAACTATATAATAATAAAACCATACACGCATACGACACAGTGCAGTTGCTTAGCCAGACGCGATGTGTTTTTGTTGTTTTCCGGATTTAGATTTGTAGAGATAGCGGCGCCGGTCGGTGGGCCTGGTGGGGACGCCTACTGGCTGCTGCATGCCGGACCACACTGACATTTGTGGATTGTAATTCTCTAATCCAACGTGTTGTCATAATGCCATCTTCATCTACTCGTGGGCCTTAGCTTATTTACAGCACTTTTGATGGGATTATAAATACAAAATACATGAACTTTCAATACTATAATTATAAGATAAAATTTACAAATAATCCCTAATAATAAAATATTACTTTATTAAGTTACTCGATTGTTAAAAATTATACTTAATGTAAAAATAAGTGTTCATATTATACTTAAAGTTAAGTTTAGGGTTTTATTTAAAAATAGGTGTAATATTTTCAACGTTACACTTTTAGGTGTTTGGATCGTTAACATCGTTAAATTATGGCGTTAAGTGACACGTGTCATACATATAAAATTTAATTTTTTTAAAATAAACTTTTAAATTTTTATAAGCCTGATATGTGTCACTTAATCGTTGAATTTAACGGCAGACGCCTAAAAGTGTAACATCGGAAACATTAGACACCTATTTTTAACGAAATATTCTTTAAGCGCCTAAAGTTAACTTTGAGTAGTTTGACAGTTATTTTTGCATTAAGTCTAAAAATTATAAAATGGTTCTGACTATAGGGCGTTGTTTTAGTGAGTCACTCGACTATTAAAAGTTACAAAGATGGTCAACCGGCTATTCATGTGTTTCAAACTTATAATTTTCCGTTAAAAACTTGTTGACTGAGATATGATAAAATCATATTTTAATGATGTTTATTGTATTATCGTTGCTTTCAAGCACTAACTCGACGATATAATATTCCAAGTACTGACTCGATGTCATAACATAAACGGAGAGTCGGTCTACAAAATACAACTACGATTTTGAAAACTTGTTGACTGAGATATGATAAAATCATATTTTAATGATGTTTATTGTATTATCGTTGCTTTCAAGCACTAACTCGACGATAATATTCCAAGTACTGACTCGATGTCATAACATAAACGGAGAGTCGGTCTACAAAATACAACTACGATTTTGAGATCAAATTTATCATTCTTAGTCACAAGTTAACATCTAGCTCAAGCGGACGATATTTTTTAACGAAAATGATGAGTTTGAAACATATGAATATTGAGATGTTCATTTTATAACTTTAATAGTCGAAAAATTCAAAAAAAATAACGTATTATAATTAAAAATAATTTTATAACTTTTAATAATCTCAATAAAACAACGCCTATATAATAAGGAATACTTACCCAAAAAATTATCAATCCACGTCTTTATTCTCTTAAGATAAAGATAATAAAAATTTAAATTTAATATGTTTTTGATTTAACAATGAAAAAATTAAGATAAATTTCTCTTTTATATGCCTTTTCAATGAGGTTTGCTACTTTTGCAAAAGGTGATTTAAACTCCTAACAGATATTCCACGTTGGTCTAAGGAAAAGCGTTTATATCTCATCTCATTTCACAACGTTTCTATTGACATCATAAGCATTTATTCCGCTCTTCAATCTGGAAATGTCACAATTTTTTAATTAAATTAAAGAAATATGTAACATTAAAGATTAAATGTATATTATTAATTTTGTTTACATCTTCATTAAATATTTATGGCTAATAGCTCAATTGAAACATTTATATAATTAAATAGCACATTGTTAAAAAATAAAAAAAAAGACAATAATAAAGTGATCATCAGTTTAATTTTTCCTAAATTATAATATATGTGTGAAGTTTGCATGAGCGACGTTTTTGTTTGAGTTGTCTTACATCAATGACAATTACTACATGACTGAGTGAGGATCAATAATCAATTTTACTGAGATAAAGTTATATCAAATATTAAAATTTATTATAAAAATGAATATATATATATATATATATATATATATATATATATATATAAACAAATGAAGTGTAGTTATCAAAATAATAATTCAAGACGAAATCAGACATAAAAATAAATAATGAAGTTAAACATTTTTAAATGAAATAAAAGAAATATGAAAAATACTCTTTTATTTTAATCTTTTGATAAATATAGTTGATGTAGGTCGTTACACAATTTTAAAATATTTTCGACCATTCTTTGATACTCGAGATTTTTTGGTCATTTGTCTCTCATGATACAACAATTAATGATCAATTAACAATAGCATAAACTTTCAAGATCACGAACTATTTTTTGTCTTTACCTATCACTGCAAAAAACTAGAAAAAAAGAATTTTTTTTCAAGATTTAAGAAATTCTTAAATTCCGAAATGTGTTAAAACTAAAAGGTTAATTTTCTATTTACAGAAGATTTTCAAAGAGATTTACTTAAATTAAATATATTTTAACATTTAAATTTAAACATATAATAATATTTTAATTTAAAATATCAGAAGATTTTAAATTCCTTTTATTATTCAAATTTAAGTAGATATTATCTTAATTTATAATTTCAAAAAAAATTATCTCTTAATATTCAAATTAAATAGATAATACATATTAATTTAACATATTAAAAAATAATTATCCTATTACTGTTCAAATTAAAAAAATATCTTAATTTATAATATTCAAAAGCAATATAAATTTAATTAAACATTAAATTCACCGATAAATTCACTTTTTTCCCCAAACAATTGTAACGGTATTGGTGGAATGCCTGCTAAAATGCGGCCAAAACGCAGAAATTCTGTCAAACATTCACCCCTTTCTTCTGAACCCATAACCCTGTAAAACCCAAGCCGGCAACATTGGCGACAAAAGCAGAAATCAATAACAAAATACTAGGAAAACTGAATGCTACCACCGCCTGCAGGAAACGCTAAACACCTCATCCACATGTCCCCACCGCTTTCCCCCGGAGAGCCATAGATGTATTCTACTTCAACCCCAACGTGTAAACAGGTGGCGGCCTTACTCCAACTCCAATACCTCCGAAGCTAACGCATTCACTGTCTTAGTCATTGTCTTTCTCTATTTTGCTCTGCTTTTTCGCCGCCATCCGCTGCTTGCTTCGTGGCGGAGGAGGTGGTCGCCACCATCGGTATTCGAGCAACAACCAGCTTCCCCTAACCCGACAAGAGCTCGAGCAGAAAGCCCGCCCCAGAGACAGCTGCGGCAAACATGGTTGAAGCTCCGAAGTGGTTTACCGACTGGCATGAAGCTGGCGGGAAGGCTGAGTGTGCTATTTGCTTGTCTGGATTCCATGTACAATGTATACAGAAGTGGTTGTCTTCTCACTTTTCTTGTCCCACTTGTCGTTGTAGTTTCTTTCGTCATCACCATCATCGGAAGGAATTTCCAATCAATGCGTTGACAACATTTCCCGACCAGTGATGCCCCGGCAGGGACCGTAGCAGTTTTGGTTGTTATTTCGTAGCGAATGTATATGTAGATGGCCTCTTACCCTTTTTTGGGTTATTAACATTCAAAACCTTTGCAAACGGGAGAACTTCAATTGACATGTCATCCATTAATCATGGTTGAACATAAGCTTTGGTAGTATATGTATCAGATTTCAAATCTAGATAACTCACGCACATCTACATCTACAAAATGACAAAGCAATTTAAACCCGTAGATGTACAGTCAAACAAGCAGTTCGAATTAGGATGGATGGTCGGGTCGGGTCGGGTTTTTGGTACCCCGATTCGATCCGAGAACAAAGGATCCTCCCCCGAGACCCGACCAAAACAAAAATTCATCGAACTCGACCCATATAACTTAGAAACCCGACTCGACCCGAAATAAATAAAATATTTTTATTCAATAAAAACAGTGACTTAATTGAAAAATATATAGAAAGGAGTATTATTGTAATTATTCCTAAATATATAAGATAATTATATATATTTTTCGGGTCGGGTATTTTCACTCTAAACCCGACCCCGACCCGAACTCCACACTTAAAAAACCTAACCCAAACCTGATTTTTTTTATAAAAAAAACACTCGATCTGGTCGGGTTCAATGCCCATCCCTAGTTAGAACTAGAATCATCTACGGAAAACAGTATCATCTTTACCAATGAGACCACTCCTTGGGTTTCATTGCTTTCCAGGATGTTACAAAAAAGAAGAAACTTACATTACATGATTGTGAAGAGCAAGCAACAATGCTATCCTTATAGAATACAACCGTCTATATGTTACACTACAAACACTCTACCATATAATCATACTTATAAACCATGTCTCATACATTTATCATGGGATGAACATGAGACACCAAAACGAAAAATCAAACGGACTGACTGAAAACCAAGCCAAACTGACAATCTCAAAACCCGAAAAATCCAAACCACAAAATGCAGAAGGAAACAGCAAAATAACACAAGTATATATCTAGAAGCACTTCCTGTGAACAATGGCAGGTCCGGATTCGTCGTACTCTGCTTTCGATATCCACATCTACATTCGATGCAAACAATACACAACGTTTAGAGTCGATGGAAAGATTAACATTGTCTGAACTATGAATAATTAATCCATATATGAATAAGAAGAATTTTATCCAAGGGAATAGCAATATCATCAGAACTCAGAAGCATTCAACAAAAAGTGTGAAGCACATTAAGCATTCCACCGATTTCATTCTTGAATTTAGGCTCGATAGTTCAGCTCGTCGAAGGGAGACCGAAACCTTTCAGCTCATCAAAGGAAGTGTAGGAAATAAAACAACAATCTAAGCCTTAAACAACACTCTTGTGAAAACATTATAAACATAACCCATACCTGCTGGAATGTGCTAAGAGAAGCCAAAATAGACCCACCAATCCAGACACTGTACTTTCTCTCTGGGGGTGCCACCACCTTGATCTTCATGCTACTCGTGCAAGAGCTGTGATTTCCTTGCTCATTCGATCAGCAATACCGGGAAACATGGGATCCACCGCTAAGCACTATATTACCGTACAAGTCCTTTCTAATATCGACATCACATTTCATGATGGAATTGTAGGTGGTCTCGTGAATTCCAGGAGCTTCCATTCCGATAAGTGATGGCTGAAATAAGACCTCAGGACAACGGAAACGCTCCGCTCCAATGGTTATTACCTGACCATCAGGTAGCTCATAACTTTTCTCAATTGATGAGCTGCTTTTCGCAGTTTCAAGCTCCTGCTCGTAGACGAGTGCCACGTAAGCAAGTTTTTCCTTGATGTCACGTACAATTTCTCGTTCAGCAGTTGTGGTGAATGATAACCCCTCTCTGTAAGGATCTTCATCAAGGCATCTGTTAAATCCCGTCCAGCGAGGTCAAGCCTGAGGATGGCGTGGGAAGTGCATAACCTTCATAGATTGGAACTGTGTGACTGACCCCATCCCCAGAATCCAACACAATACCTGGAAACAACAGCATTATCAACAAATTAGCAATCAGACTTTGAGAAAAAATCATGTTGTCTCAAGTAAACCATCATACGAATACGAACCTGTAGTACGCCCACTAGCATAAAGCGATAGAACTGCCTGGATTGCAACATACATGCAGGAACATTAATGTTTCGAACATTATCTGCGTCATTTTCTCCCTTGGCCTTAGGATTCAGAGGTGCTTCAGTAAGAAGCACAGGATGTTCTTCCGGAGCAACACGAACTCATTGTAGAAAGTGATGCCAGATCTTTTCCATGTCATCCCAATTGCTAACAATACCATGTTCAATAGGGTATTTCAAAGTGAGAATACCTCTTTTAGATTGAGCCTCGTCCCCTACATAGGCATCTTTCTGCCCCATCCCCACCATAACACCCGTGTGCCTCGTCGTCCAACAATACTAGGGAAGACAGCCCTAGGAGCATCATCTCCGGCAAACCCAGCCTGTTAGAGGAAATAAGTAAGGGATCTTCAATCTTCAAACTTAAGTGAAAAACAGAGGCACCAGAAAATAAATATCATATTGTCTCACCTTAACCATTCCAGTACCATTATCAACAACAAGAGGCTGGATCATCGGTGTCTGCCATACTTTAGATTGACCTATGAATAGAACACAAGCAGATAAACATTTTGAAGAATATAACATAAACTTTCATAAAAGACATTAAAAGGAAAAAGGAAAAAGGTGGCATTTTTGCAAAAACATAAAATTGCTAAAACTTCACATGCAGAAAACACTTATATGACATCTTGAGCTAACACATGTAGGTGGGGAAAAACACAGCCAGACAATGATAAAAGCCTAGTAAATTTATCTAACACAGCAAGGAAACTGTAATTGGGTACATCTAGAAGCTGGTGTTTTAACTATATAAAGCATCATTGCAGTTCTTAGTTCAGACACCAATCTAGTTACAAATGTAACTCTAGTAGTTGTATCTCCTCCGAAAGCCACGATGTCATTCTTCCAAGCTTTCGGAACTCAATAAGATCTCTGTATCGTATCCTACAGACAGTTAGGACATCTTGACGCCGACAGACCCACATAATCTACAATCCACTATCTGACAACCATATTTATATAGTCTGTCAACTTGCAAATAGTCATCGTTTCTATATGCCTAACACCAGCACTAAAGGTCAGTATATAAGTCACTAGGTTAAAAATTGAACTTTTCTCTCTCCCATCTCTTTTGAGGACTGTACATCGTCATCTATCTGTTTCACTTTCACCGAACAACCAGCCGCTGCTCTCCACTTAAATTATAAAGAGTGAGCCACCAAAAGCCGTCTCAACCCAACTTTTTCCATCAACACTAGCCATTTCAGCCGCCAAAGGTTACAGTTACTAGTAAGGACCCAGATCATCGAAATCAGCATAAGCAAGTTTCTCAAGCACATCGATCAGAGAGCAATATTCAAACAGACTGTGATAAACAAAATGGTTCCTGTAGCTACTCCTATACACGAGAACTTTACATGATACAACTTTTCACATGCTCTTGAAATCGAACCGCAGGTGGATATATCCCCGAGATGTCAGAATAAAAACAAGTGCAACTCAGAGATGATAATTCACAATCGAAAAGCGAAAGTGCAAACGATAGTTCATAACATACAGTTGGGAGCAAAAGAAGAACAAAGTTTACCTGAAAAACCATAAAACGTGACGGCAAAGCTAGCACAAGGATGGCAAAACAATGAAAAGAATAAGAAGGGAAAGGAGCAAACCTGATGAAGTGACGATGGAAGGCAGGAAATGGCAAGATGATGAAGGGACTCTAGAATAATGGGGTAGTGGCAAAAGGCAAGTGGACCGCTCCTCTCTTTTTTCATGGCTGTCTTTTTCCTAACCGAATATAAGAAGCTTTTATGTTTCCACTTTCCACAAGTATTTATTTCATATTTATATGAGCATAAATTACTTTTTCTTAAAGCTTTTTTAACACGAAATTATAATTTTTTTCGAATATATAATTACATTAATTGCATAATTAATTTTACTTATGTTACAATCTTTATTCAACTTTCTCCCTTTTTATCTAAATTTTTCAATATTAATTCTAATAGTTGTTTTGATGCCATAGGGTTATTAATGACAGGGATGGAACCATGACTCTAATTCAATAGGGACAAAATAATTAATAATAAAAAAAAGAAAAAAAAAATTAAACTTGAAGGTGTCCATAATTTTATCCCTGATTAATGGTGAATGAATCGAATTTTATAAATTTTAATTTAGTTTAATTTTATAAAATTTAAAAAATAATTTAAATTTGATCCGATGGAATTTTATACATGAAAAGTTTTGGATTTAAAAATATCCAAATATATTCATGTTTTTTAAAATATTTTTAAGCATATTTCCATTTTGCTAGGTTCTTTTAACCTAAAACTTTGATTTTTCTCCGAAAGTAAACTCTTTTTGATGTGAGCTTACTGAACTCTTTGCTAAAGATTCATATATTCTTAGACCTAACCTAGAGAAGAAATTTATTACTATTTTTTATTAATATAAATAAGTATAAGGTAATATCTGTTTAAAGATAACTTCATTATTTAATATTAAACATTCATACATCTTATATTCTTAGTGTTCTCAAAATCTCAAAGGATAACAATAATTCTCTAACCACCGAAGTCGCTCAATTAAGCTATCCTTGATATTCTAAATTTTCATTTTCTGTATTTTTCAATATGCTTTTGATTCTTACATTTATGTAATTTTGTCAGTAAAATTATAAGAGTTTAGTGATAAACATTTTAACAAATAAATTGATATAATATCTTGTGAAAATATAATTGAAGATTAGTATTCTTGATAGATTTTTATTTTTTGCAACTATAAATAGAATATAAAATAATTATCAAGTCAACATAGATTTTTACCATTAGAATCTAGGGTAGGTGGAACACCTCTTAAATTTGGAAGAGACGAGTATCGAATTGAAGATAATAATTTTCAAATCGAAATTAAGATAACAAAAATTTGACCATACCCAACTCGAGTCCATCCTTACTTTCATCTCATCATTGTTCTTTTTTCTTTCTTATCTTTTCACATTCTTTTTTCTTAACCAAGTTTTCCTTTCTTTTATGACACTTACCTATTATTCATATGACGATGCTACTACGCTTGACGAGCACGGTTAATGATGAGTATCATTAAATTAATTTATAAAATGTTAAATTATAAAGTATTAAACGTATAATTATAAATTAGTTACAAATCTAAATGTAATTTATTAAATACAATATTTAAAATATTAGCTTTTAGGATAACTATATTATTGACCACTAACTATTTACTCATTTTACTTTAATCATCAGTTTTCAATTTTATCAATCAGTCCACCTAACTATTTAAATATGTCAATCAAGCCACTTGTCGTTAAATATGAACGGAGGAGATGTGACAGTTAATAAAATTTGTATAATTATACATTTAGTCCTCGTTACTTACACATTCTATTAATCTTGTCTTAATATTTAATTCAATAAATTTATTCTACCTTAATTGATAAAATAATTTTTCCAAAACATTTCATTCGAGCTACTTTTTCACCAAAGCATTACCCCTGTCAAATTTGCCAGACCAAAATATTCAAAAAAATATATATAGAGAGAGAGAGACTTTTTAACGTTATACCTACTCTAAATAGTATGTAAACTGAACTCTGCATGGAACACTTACACAATGATGGTCAAAAGCTGCACATTCCATTCCAGTTTCCAAAGGAGAGGATTTCTTGCAAAGAACAGGGCAAGAACAGAAGATTGCAATGGTGCAATGAAGCAAATCAAAACATTCAGTGATAATTGATCTGGATACACGTTGGATTCTGTAGCCTGTGAGGCAATTTTCTCTTTATTAGGAGTAATTACAAGACAGTATCAAACATCTCTCCAAATAACAACTATCATTTTAACAATTGAAGTAGTTTGGTTCGCGAGACAGAAATTAATACCAAAAATGGGTTGGGGGAATTCCATTGTATGTACATAAAAAAGAGAGTGGGATATTGACATGGAGAATTAGCCATCCACTCCAAGCAATGTAACTGACAAGAACAAGCCGAGCCTTTGATCCAACTTTCATTCCCGTGAGCTTGAGATGCATACATGTTTATCAATGGCCTCTCTACAAATCCTTTCAATTGGAACCCTCCTCTCCAAAACGTAAAAACAAGTGATCCACCAATGCAAATTAAGGTACCCAATACCTTTTCTCCACAGCTGGCACTTTTAATCTTCACTTTCTCCATCCTGAATCCGAAACAGAAGCATCAATCAGCTGTGTTATACCTCCGAAGATGTAACTTCACCTCCGGGAATGCAACTTCGCCGACACCACCGACTCGTTCCCTTCAACTGAGATTGTGGACAATGATTGGTCTAGTGTTACCTGAGGAGAACTGCTAGTAGAAACGTCAAACTAGGGATGGCATTGCTCAAGGCAGTGGCTACTGTTGAAGTGTAAGCTAAACCAGCATAGTAAAGATTAATATGAATGGTAGTCCCTAGAGACAACAGCAAAAATATTTTTCCCACGACGTCAAAAGCGGAGGACGAACTGTCCTGTGCTTGCAGATCATACAATGCAACAAGTTATGAACATCATCTTCTTTTTGAAATGGATGCAAGTTTAGAGGTAGCTTACTTTTCAAGAACATAAGCAAGGGGAGCTAGCAAAAGCATGGCAACCAGGTGGCGGTAAACAACAAACAAAAATTGATTGAGGCCCCTGTCAAGGGCGATTTTGATGAGAATGTTTGATCTACCATAAGCAAATTGAACTACCACCATTGCCAGGTAAAACCCACAGTTGTTCATGGTTTCAGTTCAATTCTGTAACTTGTTCATTAATGAATCAGGCTATTTCACTTATTTATAACCATGCAAGACTAAATGCAGCTGTACACCAGCTTGCCTAACGAGCTTTAATAACCTGCCTAATTAACGACGTCCTAGTACTTCAACACCACATATGGAAATTAAAAATCAGTTTTCGACCTCTAAAATTTTAAAAGTATGTTATCCTTTTAAATTTTATAAATCTGTCTTTCAAGTTGTCTTTCAAGTATAATAAAAGTAATATCGAATCAGGATGGAGATGATAAAAAATCTAACCCAAACCAGCCATGATCATCCTTGATTAAGCATAAGCATGCTCGTTTATAAGATTTTGATGGTCTAAAAACGAACCTTAAAATTAAGCTTCTAATAATAAGTACAGGAAAAAATGAATTTTAAGAGTGGAAAAAATAAAATAATTTACTTGCAAATTGTACCTGTTATTGCACTCAATGAATTTCAAGAAAGAAAAGAGGCACGGTCATGCCAACTACTAACCTCCGGAGGGATACGTTTGGAGCTGGAGGCCGGAAATGTCCATGTCGATGGGTTTGAGCTTCCAATGAACTTAGGTCCTACGATGGAATATGGTCCAAAATTTTCTGGTGGATAATTTACATATTGCCATTGTATTTGGTCGAGGAAAGGATGTTCAGCAAGATTTTATTATATTAAAATTTTAAAAAATTAAGAAATTAAAAAATTTAAATATAAAATTCATTAAGTGACTTCAATAATTTGAGAGAATATTATTATTCTCCTTAAATTTGAGCAGCTGCATTTTTAGTCAATAGTTAAAAAATATTAATAGATACTATCTTGTAATTATCATAGAGTATTCAAGAAAAATTCAATATGTATAAATTAGATAATCAGGAGAAAATATAAAAAACACTAATATATATATATATATATTGAATAAATATGCCTAATACAAGGTATTAGGATTTTACAAACTTGCAGTATGAAGGTCCTTGGACATCGCGACTGAGTGAATCAGCAAGGGACGTGGGATGTGAAGACAAGATTCGAGTCTGGAGCAGGCAGTTTGGCAATGCCATCGGCGAGCATGTTGCTTTGACAAGGAATCCAAGTGAAGTAAGTCAGCCATGCACGTTGCATCATACTATTGATAGCTCGAAAAAGGGAGAGGGGGTTAGTGGAGGAGTCTGATTCCACGATAAACTTCACCGCCTCCAAGCTGTCGGTTTGGATTTGGATTTTTTTCGAAACCTTACCAGGCAGTTTGGAGACCAATGAGTATCTGTATACCCCACAATTCAGCTTGAAGAGTATATGGGTAATGCCTACAGACTTTTGATAACCAACAATCCATTCCCCATGCTTCCTCCTTCAAGACGTCTTCATCATGACACCATGTACCATCATTCAGTTTGATTGCAGCAATTTTATTTCTCTGTTTGCGAAGCATGGATTTTTTATGAAAATACTTTGTATTACGGTCACCCAAATGAATCCAGTCAGAACGAGATTTTTGTCGCCACATAAGTTCTTCATCAAGTAGACGCTCGAGTTCAAGAAGTAGTTCAGATTCAAGAGAAGAAAGCAATGAAGAGTGGCGCTGCCCCAGTGCCTTTTGAACACCACGAAGACGTGCCATCACAATTTTCTTCTTCATGCCTATGTAGCCAAAGACATTTTTATTCCAGGAGTCAGCAGCATGGGTAAAAGCGCGAATGGTATCAGATAGTGAAGAGTTACCAGACCAGTTATCCGTGACCAAACGCGGGAAATCATCATGTTTGAGCCAACCGGAGAAATATCTGAAAGGATGATTGTGATGGTGTTTGTTATTGTCACCCACACTCAATAAAATGGGCTGTGGTCCGAGCGCATTCGCAATAAGTGGAGAACCATAGAATCAGGAAATTCGTCCCAATAGCTGTTGCAAAGAACGCGATCAAGGCGAGCTTGAGCCATGCCATGGGACCAGGTGAAATCCGGACCCTGGTAGCCCATGTCACGAAGATCAGAATTAAAAAGAAGATTTTGAAAAGCCTTGCAGGTTTAGTGGAGGCTGCACAACCTTTCCTATCTGCGGCATTAAGGGTCGCATTAAATCACCAAGAAGAATCCACGGAGAGTGGATGGAAGAGGCGAGATTCCCAATATGGTGCCAGAGACAGCGCCTTTTCATGGCTTGAAGACTAGCATAAACAAGAGTGGCGAGAAAAGAAGCGTTATCACATTTGCTTGAAACTCGGAAGTGAATAAATTGGAAATGATTGAGGAGAATAGAGACTTCAACTGAATCATACCAACAGAGCCAGATACCCCCAGAGTAACCAGTAGCCTCAATGCGATGCGAATGGTGAAAACCCAATGAAGCAATAATAAGATCAGCCTTGCTACCACTGGAACGTGGCTCAACAATACCAACGATATCAAGTCTGTTATCCCTTAAGAACTGTTTGCTGCTGTAAGGAATTTCATATCCCACAACCTTGCACATTCCAACATAGAAATTTAAATTCATAATAAAATGAGGAGAGGAGAGGAGGAGCAAACCAGGTATCATTCCATCATTGCCGAAGCCTGTTGTAAGGCAACAGAGTCAGCAGGAAGATTCCTAGGGTCATTCATAATATTATGATTTGCTTCAAGGGATTCAACTTCCACCATAGTCAGGTCGGAGTCATGATCATTGCCATCTGGAGGTTCACCCATTGTGGCATCAGTGATTAGCATGTGCGACATTCGGGTCAGAATTCTTAGAGATGGTGACAGCTGAGTGTTTCGAACGGTCAAGAGGGGATTTGTTTCGAGATGGAACCACTGCCAGGGCAGATTTTTGAAGCGGGTGATTACCAACACGAAGTGGCAGGTGAGGGGCATTAGAGATAGTCAAGAGCTTGCGGACAACAACCTGAGTTTTATTGTGGGTAGTTGATAAACTTTTGTTGGCTGTAGCTTTAGGCTTGGTGGTCTTTTTGGCATGTGAGGAGCTTGCAATATTATTAGCGTGGGAAATAACAGGGGGTAAAGGATCATTATTTGCTGGGATATCAAAATCACATTCAGTGGAATCATAGATAGGATTAAAGCTAGAACCTTTGATTGTAGAGTCAGGCATTTTGGTCGGTTGGGTGGAAGTGGATTTGGAAGGTTTACGGGTACGTCTCTCCACCATCATCCACGGTCCAAAAGTTGGGGCAGTGTCGTGTTTAGGGTTAGGAATAACAGGATCATGCGTGGAGGTTTGTTCAACGGTTGTAGAACATTTGGTTGAGGGGAAACCATCAACATTGTGGCCGTATTTCCCACAAGTGAAGCAGATAATTGGAAGCGATTCATACTCCACAATTTGCACACGCTCGTTTATAAGTATTTTAGAGATCAGAGGTTTGTTGAGATCCAATTTGACAGCCATACGTGCAAAGCGACCTCTCTGACCACTCTCGGTTTGATAGTCAATGCAGATTACTGAACCAATACATTCTACAATTTCAGTTATAAGGCTTCTTTTATACAGAGTTACAGGCAAACCAGTTAGCCGAATCCATGCAATGACCTTGCTTGGATGTGGTTGCGAAGGAGAAAAGTCTGATGTCCAAGGCTCAACGGTTAAATAGTGACCAAAGATGGTCCAAGGACCCTCAGAACTTTCAGGAAGTGGGAGCGAGGTCGAAGAGTGACAAGAAAATAATTGTTTTCAATGTCCATGAGTTTGATCGGTTAGGTAGGCTTCCAGATATCATAGATCTTATTGCAAGTTGTAAATCCAGTTCTTCGGCCAAGGATCTTGACCACAACAGTTTGATCGAGGCTTTTCTCAGCCAAGGTCTGAACTCTCTCATAGAAATTTATAGCGATCATACTGTTGACCAATCCTCTAGAAACATCACCCTCAATTAACTCAATTTCATCTTCATCCGAGATATCATCATCACTCGGCGCGCACACATCATCACCAAGGCTTTTCTTTGTAGGAAGGCATAGCGGGCGGAACTGGAGGGTAGATTCAACGTTTTCCATAGTGGCATCCATCGCATCGAGAGTGGCTCCACCCTCATCAGGTGGATCATCATTGAGGCGGCAGGGTTTTTTAGTGGACCTATTGTCAGAATCAATAGCAGCGGCGCTAGGGTCAAAAGGTTCGTGGGGAGAGTGCAGAGGGAATATTTTTGTATTAAAAAATTACTTATATCATATGAGAGTTTAAAATTTTCAAGAGAACAATCTCGATGCTACAGTGAAATAAAGTTTAAAATATTTGTTAATATAAAATGATTTGATTGCTCCCGTGATAGGAAAATAAATTTTAAAATACTTGATCATATAGAATTAAAAAAATATTTAAAAACAGTAAAAATCAATTGCAATCGAAGATAGTGTCAAACTAAAATATTCAACGGGAGGTGATCCAGCCGCACCTTTCAGTAACCTTGTTATGCCGTCACTCCAATCACTAGTCTTGCCTTCGGTATCCCCTTATGCGGTTAAGGTAACGACTTCGAACATAGCCAACTCCCACAGTGTGATGGGCGGTATGTACAAGGTATGGGAACAAATTAACCACCATATGGTTGACCGGTGATTATTAACGACTCCGGCTTCATACAGGCAAGTTACTATCTTCATAATATGTTCAATTATAAACCCTTAACCCGCAATGTAATTTTTCGATTACAACAAAAAATGTTTTAAATTTATATAAATTATTAAGCGCAGAAAAATGACAATTTTTGTGGACGGCCATTGCATTGTAATAAACCAACCCTTATTTGGGTCAAATTCGAAGGCAAGGAAAATTTTTGATGTAAATCCATCAACAGCCTCGTAATTGCTAAAACCCCTTCCCATACAACGATAATGCCAATTCAGAAGTAAATATGTCCAAGGACTTGCCAATCTAACAATAATAAAACCCCAACCGATAGTCAGAGCAAGTAAAAACACAATTTCCCAACTTCTGTACAATTCAAAACAACTATTCATGGAGACAAACACAACAAAAGACTCTTTCTTAAAACAATTATTGAAGCAGGCAAACAGTGTCCCTATCTTCTTATATCAGTCAGCAACCTGCAACAGTGCAGATCTCACATCTCTTCTTCTTCCTCCTCTTCCTCTTCCAACCTGTATTTGCTGAAGTGCTTTACCCTGAACTTCCATTCTCCTTTGACAGGATCATATGAGATAAACTCGGCCCCTTGGTCCTCGGCCTTCTTCTTAAGCATGTCCTTATATTTCTCAACCTTTGGCCCTTCTGTATACTGCTGTCTGGTCCTCTTGTCAAAGCATTTGATGTTCAGAAGTGTCTTCTGCAGGTTTGTTAAGACCTTGTCCAACAGGAGGTTTCTTGCTGTCATCCATGTAAACAATTACCTCACGGTTGTTGAATTGGACAAGGACTCCAGATCAAGGCCTTTCACATCTGTCTCCCAGAAACTTTATGCTTCCATAACCATGCCGCCCAACCACAAAGTCCTTGACATGGCTACAGTACCCTGGTTCGGCCCTTTCCTTTGCTGCCAGTTCTTGGACTCTAGGTTCTGTATAGTAATCAGACTGTCGGAGCTTTGGCATTCGAGCCTCAACATCAGCCACACGCTCATGGACTCCATTAGCTTTCTGGTTATGATGTATTTGCTCCTTCACAAGGCCATTTTCAGCTGGATTTTCTACAAGAATCATATCAATCAAAAGGATCATATTAAAAGTAGCAAAGATGCTAGCAACTTGATTTGCTAATCAGAAAAGAACACTCGTCATTTTTATCACAAAGAGATTATTACTCTAAAATGCTTTGTTTTTTGTCCTACATGAATACTATAAACTCCAAAGGAATTGACAACAGGCCAACTGGTTTTTTTAGCCTCTCTATAAAGTTAAAGAACAGTTCATGGAGCCACAGATCCTACATCATGCCATACAAACAGAAAAATATTTTTTAACCCGTGCAATTTTCACATCATTGTTGATGGCATAAAATTAATAAAATGACACAATAGTGAATTGAAGGCGAGTAAGTTTCATGTAAAAGATTCTACTTACTATCTTTATCCTCAGCATTGAATCCATCATCAGAAATTCTGCCTAAATGAAGATGATGCTCCAAAGAGTCAGCCACGAGCAGTAAAAAATCAATGTACTCAGATAAAAAAGATAAAAGCAAATTCACACATCTGAAGACTTAATCAGAGCATTTCTTTAACGCAACAAGCTATGTTACTCGAACATGGGTTAGTGTCGGGTTATAGTATCTAACCAATGAGAGTATGATTATTTTTTTGCAAGTTTCTCCATGTATTTGAAAGATCCATTGTAGGGTCAGACCCCAATACTTGTGTCCAATATTTGTTGGAAACAGGTGATGGGTTACAGGTATTTCAAGGAAAATGAAGAGTTAGAGCAACAACAGCAATAAGAATATTGTAGTGGCACCAGAAAAGAGACTTAACACATAGCATTACCATATTTTTTTTTCTCCATGCTAATTGGTATTTACTTGGTTAGCTCGCTAGTTTGAATAAATTTAAAAAATTCAAATGCCTTTACCAAGGACTTTGGCATCCATGGCATTTTGAGACGATATATGAGAACCTTATACTGTCAAGTGAACACATGGAAAGAATAAACAAAGCCTGCAATAAGTTTACTTCAAGGCTATTGAATTTCGTCCCATTTTGAAACAATTGATGAGAACCTTGTATCGTCAAATTACGGTAAATAACTCATTGAAAGAATAAAAAAAGCCTGCAAAAGGTTAAATACTTCAAGGCTATCAAATTTTGTCCATCTATATAAGCTTAGGCTCTAGTCTGTGATTCACTTGGTCCACAAAAGGAGATCGGATGAGCTTGAAAGTATCTTACCATTCTCATGCACTGGAGTGGATGCATCCTTCAAAGGTAAGGATTTCTCTATAGAAGTTCTTGAAGGCCAGTTTTCAGCGGGACGAATAACCAGAGCCCTTGGGTTTTCCCTAGGAATAAAAACTGCATCAGCCTTAGGTTTGCTCGGTGTCTCTTCATCATCATTGAAAAATGGAACCTACAGACATTAGTGTACAAAAGAAACCAAGAAACATAAGAACTATCAAATCATATAGCCCAGTAATGCAATAACATTTCAAATAAGAAGGGTAGAGTTACTATTTCAAGATAGGTAGCACTCTCACCTTTTGATTTTTAGGATGATTTTTCTTGCAGGCAACTAATCCGTCTTTGTGAAAGGTATCGAGAAGTTAATAAGGCGATATTCTAACAGGAGCAGATTTGTCCATGACCTGATAAATTACCAGTAAACCAATATTTATTTTAATTTTGATAAAAACATTACATCAAGCATGAAGGGAGGTAGGGAAAGAAGGAAGGGGAAAAGAGAGAGAGAATCTATAATATGTAAAAAAAAAAGCAGATCAAACTCGAAAACTAAGAAGCAACGCCAGAAAGTTACAGGCATGCTAGAAATCCCATATTGAACAGATGGTGCCGTCCCAGATCGACCAATTGACATTGAGGCATTGCAGGAGGTTCCATAAGGATTACTATAGTCACGGGTTGCACTACAGCAGCACTTTGTGTCATAGACCTGCCAAACAGAAATATAAAATCACAAACTATGTAGATAACCATGGACCAATTGTTCAGGCATACACATGTACGAACTACTAGTAATAGATATGGATATGCTTGGAGGTGATTTGTATAAGTGGTCGTGAA